GTTTGTTCTTAAACTAGTGTTTGTCAAAGAGAAACTACTTCTGTCTCACAAAAGGAACGACTGAAGTATGCTTGGTTGTTTTAAGCTCTCTACAAATACACTTCTTTTGTGGATGTTGAGACCACTTTGCTTACCGGAAACCAAAGTGCACACAGCTGTAACTTTGTCTGGTGATAGGTAGAATATTAGTCTGTATTTTTTAAATATTTTCATTTGGTAAAGCAGACAGTTGCTGTATTGGCAGAAGTGTGAATTTCATTTCCTGTCTGTGGTGTACCCCACTCATCCTGTCACTCAAGACATTTTGTTTTAGGTTGTTCCTGTAATGTGACTGAAACAGAGTGACCCACAGCAGGGTGACATGTGCATACCACGAACGTAACAAGAGACAAGACTTGTGCAACAGACCACAAGAGCGTAATGCTTTATTTAAAGATGAAAACAAAACAAAATAAAGGCGGCCCCTCCCAGCCAGCATGCAGATTTTTAAAGTGGCATCCATGACTTCTTGTATTTGTTTTTAGAAGACATGTTCCAATCTGTTTGGCAAGTTAGTTCAAAAGTTTATCAGCTTTATGCCTCTTAATTAAAGGATAAAGTTGAGTCAACGACTGACAGTATTATAGAGGTGATTTAATTTTGTTTGCCAACTAATGTATCATCAGACATTTGTATTTACAATCCATTAATCTGCCACATATATTGAGTTCTGTAACAATTATTTTTTACATGTGAAATTACAGGATTTCTGTTTCCTTGTCCTAAATTACATTTCCTGCTGCAATGACAGGACAGATAAAACTGTGTGGGAAGAACTCTGGGATGAATTGATTCATCCTCAAATAGCTATTGAGCACCTAATATGCATTTGGCACTATTTCCAATGTTGAGGATTATGTACTGAGCAAAATAAAATCCTCGCTCTTCATTGAGCTTATATTTTATCATAAGGAGATAACCACAATCAAGTATACAAGTAAATAAGTGTAATTTTAGTATATGATATATATCCTGGAGGAAACACAACCGAACAGCAGGATAGAGTATGACTGGGACAAGGAAGAGGTGATGATACTGGAGCTGTGGCTTAAATAGTGACAGGCCAAGAGAAAATTATCCCACATAGAAAATAAAAAGCATGAGGTGCCTGGGTGGCTCATTTGGTTGAGCGCCTGCCTTTGGCTCAGATCATTATTCCAGGGTTCTGGGATTGAGCCCCTTGTGTCTTGGGCTCCCTGTCAGCAGGGAGCCTGCTTCTCCCCCTCTCTCTGCCCCTTCCCTGCATGTTCTCCCTCTCTCTCTCTCTCTCAAATAAATAAAATCTTTTTTTTAAAAAAAGAGAAGAAAAAGCACAAAGGACCTAAGAAGGGGCCTGAAATACGGAAGAAATAAAAGAGACCAGTGCAACTATAGCAAGTGAACAAAAGGGGAGATAGTACAAAATCAGAAAAGTAATGTATTATTGGATGTTACAGGGCCTTGAAGTCTAAGCTAAAGACTTCAGCTTTTCTCCGTAAGTACAAAGGGAAACACATGCTATATCTGTGTATTTTGTATATATAGAATCCCTCTGGTTGCTTTTTGGTAAGTGGATAGCAGCAGTGCAGAAGTGGTTGCAGACAGGCTAGTTAAGAGACTTTTTTGCTGATAGAATGTCTGGGATTAGTTTCACTTCAGGGACAAGGTAAAGAGAGTAAGGACGTAGAAGAAACAAATATTGGCCTTGGATTAAAGCTGAAATGTGAGAGAATGTGGAGGTTCATTATATCATCCCCTCTATTTCTGTTTATGTTTGTAATTTTCTGTAATAAAAAGCTTGAAAAATAAACCTTTAACAGTGATCTAAGTTTTGAAAAATGATGGTGCCATGCACTTTGTCAGAGTAGTAATAGAACAAAGTGGGCAGATTCAAGATACATTTGAAAGTATAGCCCCCAGGTCTTGCTGATGAATTAGGATACATATAATTGCAGGAAAAAAGAGAAACCAAGGATGACTGTCAAGTATTTGGCTCAAACAATTTGGGTGGATAAGACTAGGGATCAGGTTTGTAGGGACTCCAGAGCTTTGTTTTGGCAATGTAAATTTGAGACACCAATTGGATTTCCAAGCGGAAATGTTGAGTAGACAGCGTAATTTACAATACATTAGCTAACTCTGCATAAACATACTTATAAGCAAACTTGGAACCCTCCATTATATGTTTCTAAATTTTGACATTAATGTTTTGGAAGTTTTATCCTTTTCAAAGTTTGTGAATAGCATTTATTTTTTTTTTAAGATTTTATTTATTTATTTATATGACAGAGAGAGAGAGAGATCACAAGCAGGCAGGCAGAGAGGGAGAGGGGAAGCAGTCTCCCTGCTGAGCAGAGAGCCCAATGCGGGGCTCGATCCCAGGACCCTGAGATCATGACCTGAGCCAAAGGAAGAGGCTTTTAACCCACTGGGCCACCCAGGCACTCCCCTGTGAATAACATTTAAAAGGCTTAGTCTGTTGGTATAGTTCCAATATATTTTCTCTTTTCTGTGGATATTTACTAGTAATTATATCACTGCTATGCTGAACAGTAAATCTCCACCTCTGTTGAGCTGTCATTTACATGAAGAATGGTGTTAACATGGCAAACTCCATAGGTTAAACCCATTTCCTGTGTCATCCTTTCACTGCATGTGGGAATGCAAGTCAGTGAAAGTAAAGTTGTGAGTAACACTTGAGCATGATGTGTGTGTATTTTAAACAAAAATTTTTTGGCAGACTTTGAGTCTATTATTAGTAACTAAGTATTGTAACATCATTTACATCTGATTAGAACCTAATCAGATGCTGTTATGATAGTCATAGACCCAGTCACAATAACTAATATTTGTTAAGGACACCACTTTTTTTTTTTTTACACTGTGTAATTCCTTCATTTTCTGTGTATTAGTACTTTACCAACACTATAATCATAAAGAACACAATTCCAAGTACTGTACTTTTTAGTTTAGAGAGATCACAGTCTATAGACACATTTACTTACATTAGACAAGATTAATCTCATTCAGAACTTACTGCAGTTTATAAATTCTCATAAATACAGAAATTGATGCAATTAAACAAAAACTTCAGGATCTTATTTTTTAAATTCCTAGGTCATAACTTTTTCCGTGGGCTGCAATTACCTGCTCTCTGATCACTGATGGTTATGGTTCAATTTAACTACATAAATTATCAACCTTTTATATCCTTAAAGAAAATGTAAATGAAAATTACAATTTCTTACCAAAAAGCTTAGCATTTTCCAAATTTCAAAATTTGTTTCCTCCTCCCCCCCTTTAGCTAGTCATTTCAAGTAAACTAAAAATAACCACATCTCACCTGCAACATTTAATAGCAGTCATTTGATGTATAAAATTTTAACTATGCTCCCAGTTATTTAAAACACACAGAAAATGGCTGCCTATAAATCTGTCTGTCACAAGTTAAAAATACTACATTTAAGAATTAAGATGAGGGACTCCTGGGTGGCACAGTCAGTTGAACGTCGGACTCTTGGTTTCAGCCTGGGTCATGATCTCAGGGTCATGGGATCCAGCCCCACAGCCGGCTCTGTGGTCAGCATGGAGTCCGCTTAGAGTTTCTCTCTCCCTCTGCCCCTCCCCACCATTCTGTCTCTCTCTTTCTCAAATATATAAATCTTTAAAAAAATAAAAATAAAAAGAATAGAGATAAGAGGGGCACCTGAGTGGCTCAATTGGTTGAGTGCCCAACTCTTGATTTTTGGCTCACATCATGATCTCAGGGTCATGGGCTCCCCTCCCTCATCTACCTCCCTACTTCTGTGTGCACTCTCTCTCTCTCAAATAAATAAATCCTTAAAAAGAAAAAAAAAAGGGCGCCTGGGTGGCTCAGTGGTTAAAGCCTCTGCCTTCGGCTCAGGTCATGATCTCAGGGTCCTGGGATCGAGCCTCACATCGGGCTCTCTGCTCAGCAGGGAGCCTGCCTCCTCCTCCTCTCTCTCTCTGCCTGCCTCTCTGCCTACTTGTGATCTGTCAAATAAATAAAAATCTAAAAAAAAAAAAAAGAAAAGAAAAAGAATTAAGATGAGGGTTTCCAGTTTCCTCCAGTTTAAGCATTTATACCTTTATGCTTGTCTTGTCTAAAGATGTTTCCAGGTCGCCTGGGTGGCTCAGTCATTTAAGCGGCTGCCTTCAGCTCAGGCCTGATCCCAGGGTTCTGGGATTAAGCCCCAAATAGGGCTTCCTGCTCAGGGGAAAGCCTGTTTATTTCTTTCCCTCTGCCTGCCACTCTGCCTACTTGTGCTCTCTATCTCTCTGTCAAATAAATAAATAAAATCTTTTTAAAAGAAAAGATGTTTCTATAGTATTGATATTTGTGTAACCCATGTTTATGCACCTTAAAATGCAATCATTTTAAACACTAAGAATTAAATTCATGGTAGATCTTTGGGAGTTTTAAAAGCAACTAAAGTGTTCTCAGATGTGTCTGCCAGCTTCATTTCTAGAGATACTACTAAAGCAAAACTGAGAGTTTATACCTTAGTTGCATTTTGAATTCAAAAATCCCTCTGCACAAGGGCATTACTCTAAGAAACTGTATCCTTGTTGACTCCGCACAATAGCTTCGTTTTATTACCTGTATTTTACCCATAAGGAAACTTAGGCCACCTAAAATTCACTCAGGTAAGAAGTAGCAGAGCCAGGATTCGAACCCAGGCGATCTGGCTCCAGAGCCATTACCCTCTTTTTTGTTTCCCGAGCCTTTATTCTTAACTGCTACCATGTGATATATATAGAATATTGTAGGTTTCAGAAAAACTGTCTAGACTATGTGGGTTTGTGTAAATAAAAGGGTCTTTCTGGATTTTATTTTTACTTCATCCCATGAAATTGGAACTTTGGAAGATGGAAGAGAGAATAATCCCAAAATGTATCTCCATCATACTCTGATTTCCTTCCTTAAATAATCCATTTCCTTTTAACTTTTTCCCTTATAGCATCAGCGAGAGCTTTCTAACTGTCAAAGGTGCTGCCCTTTTTCTACCACGGGGAAATGGCTCATCCACACCAAGAATTAGCCACAGACGCAACAAGCATGCAGGTAAAGTTCCACATATACCATTCTTTTCTTGGTTTCTTTGCCTTTTGTTTTGTTCTAAAAGGCTGACAACCTTATCTCCATTTCTCCAACAGTCTTGTAATAGTGAAAGAAAGCATTGTATTGTGCTATAATCACTTGTCTTTTACTCTATTTTTTTGGCACTTAACAGAATGCATTATATATGTAGTATGTGTTCAATAAATTTGTGTTGGAAAAATAATACAGTACAAGAATACTCTAATGAATTCTTATGTGACTTATCACTTAAGGTTTTCCAGTTGCAAATTCCCAGTTTGCTTACCCGGCAGTACTTTTCACCACTAACAAACCTGAGTTTCCACGTACCCAGCTCACTAAGAAGCCTTACCGTAGGGATAGGGCTTCCTGACTTTTGCCTGACCTTCCAAGAAGCCAGCTGGATCTTTGGGCCAATAACACTTGGAGTAGGGTCTTACGTCCACTATTTACCTAGAAATGGCTGTCCTCTACAGGTTCTCCATCCTAAAAATCTTCTCTTAGGTCGTTTGTATTGATAGAACAGAAGGAATCTTAATTTTTAAAAAGCCTCAGCTGCTTAACTCCATTATAACATGTAACTTAAGTCACTCTTCATTGTTTACACCTAACACTCTGTCTCCCCACACTGGTTCTTTTTTTTTTTTTTACAGTTTTATTGAGATATAATTCACATACCATATAATTCACCTAATTTACCCATTTAAAGTTTGCATTCGTTGTTGGGTTTTGTTGTTTGTTTTTTTTTTTCATATGTACAGAGTTGTACAACCATCACTGTAACTTTAGAACATTTTCATCACCCCACAGAAGAAACTCACTTACCCATTAGCAGTCATTCCCTATATCTTCCACCCTCCCTGCCAATCCTAAGCAACCACTAATCTATTTTCTCTCTCTATAGATTTGCCCATTCTGGGTGTTCCATATAAGTGGATCATATAAAAATGATCTTTTGAGACAGGCTCCTTTCATTTAGCATAATGTTTTCAAGGGTCATTTACATTATAGTATATGTTAGTACTTCATTCCTTTTTATGACCAAATAATATTCTAGTGTATAGATATACCACATTTTATTTTTCCATTCACCAGTTGATAGATATCTGAGTTGTTTTCAATTTTTGGCTGTTACAAATAATGCTGCTGTGAATCTTTATGTATACGTTCTTGTGTAAACATATGTTTTCATTTCTCTTGGTTTTATACCTATGAGCCCATACTGGTTCTTACAAATGAGACTTACGTTGTGTCTCTGGGTTTGAAATGTGCTAGAACAGACCTGACCAAACATGATGATTCGCCTTTTTAATTTTGCAAGTTGAAAGATTCTGCAGTAATGGAATTGGTCAGAAGCCAGCATTGAACTGGAGATGGGGGTTGGGGGAGGCAAGAAAACTATTCTTTAAGAGAAGGAAAGGGTTGGGGGAAAGGAGAGGCTTTCAGACTTGCTGACCTTTTAAACAAGTATCTGTTCGCTAACCTACTTTTCTTTCTTCCTGCCCCTTACCACGTCTTGCACATAATACTATTTCATCTCACAGTTAACAGTTGAAGTTACATGGAGGAAGATTTTGTATGTAGATTTCAAGACGAGTGTGAGAACAGGTTCAACTGGCATCTGTGATCAGGTGGCTATGTCAGTCACTTTAGACTGTTAAAGAGCTGGACCTGGGTGGGCATGAATGACGTTTTTTGTTCTCGGATTATCATCATTTATAACAGTACGTTATCTAATTATCTTCTACTAGCCAAAGCCCCAGGTTTTCTAGTATAGAATAAGGAGTATGAGAAAATCTATAATACTTTAATAAAAAAAAATTCAATTTAGTTTTGGGGAATGTGTAGAAACAAATATGTATTCAAATAATGGTTGGCCACATTAAAGGACCTAACATTAGGTTCAGTGGAATATTTATTTCTTAAGACCCGCTATATTTAATGAGTACTCTTTCTTGAAAATCAGCCACTAATACGGAAATCATTTTAAACCACTGACATTATTCTAAGGGGAATCTAAAAATCTTCTTAGGTTAAGTGCAACTGAAGATTTACAGAAATAAGAATGGCAAAATAGTTAGCTTTTTTTAAAGTTAGAGGTAATTCTAAACCCATTCATCACACTTTTCAGTATTCCCTCCTTGCTGCCTTTAGTGGGCCTGAAAGCACAGCCCAACACATCTCACCATTGCTTTCATCAACATCCACGATAGTACAAAACTGATACTGGTTTCAAATATATCTTCCACTGGACAAACAAAGCAAATTTTAATGTAGTATAGGCTAAAAGTGAATGTATAGAGATGCAGTCTACCATTCTGTCTTTCCACTTAAAGTTAATAATTATATTAAGACACTTAATTTCTGTGTCTAATTATAGTCGTTCAGTGACCCAGAACTTTCTTTTATACTGGTTAGTAACGTAGAAGGAATCCTCTCTATTAACATTACAGTGCAGAATAATTATTTTTTGTTTCATAAATTTCACCAGGTGATCTCCAACAGCATCTCCAAGCAATGTTCATATTACTCCGCCCAGAAGATAACATCAGGCTGGTAAGTTAGTGTTATCATTGTAAGTCTTACTCAAAAGACTGTCTAAGATGGCAAACATTAAGCCGTCATTATTATGTCGCCACAGAGTGCTGGGAGCTATGTGGAACAAAAAAGAATAACATGTCCGTACCATCAAAGAGCTTAGAATGTCACTGGGAATATGAACTAATGTGAAATTATGTGAAATAATTTGATGATTCAAGGCTGTTGGTAAGCACCAGTTTGTAGGTTACTGACCATAACAACAACTGAAGTTCAGAAGAAAGAATACTCGAAGACTTGCCCTAGTTAGAAAGGTTTTATGTATACAGTAGAGCTTGAGCTGGGTCTTAAAAGATGATGAATTTAGATTGGCAGAAAGAAGGAAGTCCATCCTTCTACATGAGGGCCTGACTGAGGCAAAATCACATGTAAAGTTGGACAAGGAGAGAGTAAAAGGGCCAGGGATTTGTGCGGGTCTCAGAGAAAGGAGACCTGGGCTTAGGCTTTTGCTAATCATGTGATGTTGGACAAATTGCTTAGTTTGTCTGAGCCTGCTTTCTCATCTCCTTTGTACGTCTCACGGTTGAGAGGATCAACTGGACCTGAAAGCATATTGAAGAGTATAAAATGCTGCCCAAATCTAGGGATTATTGTTACTATAAGGAAGATAAGATACCAGAAAACAGGGCGTTTAAATAGGGATTTGATGCTCCAAACTAGAGGACTCAAAATGGCAGATATATTTTATTTGGACCACAGTGGTATTGTTTTTCACTCCAAGCCAGAATTTTAAAGTTGAATGATTTCACATAAAAATCCATACTTGGAGCTTGTCTTCAAAAATCTAAAACTCCGGCAACACTGGGACCTTATGCTCACCTGATAAAACTTGCTAGACCCAAAGGGGCAGGCATGGGTATGGCCTGGGTTCTTAACTTACCATAATCTGCATATATTCTATTGTCTCCTAGACTCTAAAGCCAAGTGTCTCCATTTATCATCATTTTTTCACTGTTACTTTTCTTATAGTAGAACATTTAATTAAAATAGGAAAACAGGGGCGCCTGCGTGGCTCAGTGGGTTAAGCCTCTGCCTTCGGCTCAGGTCATGATCTCAGGGTCCTGGGATCGAGCCCCACATCAGGCTCTCTGCTCAGCGGGGAGCCTGCTTCCCCCTCTCTCTCTGCCTGCCTCTCTGCCTACTTGTGATCTCTCTCTCTCTGTCAAATAAATAAATAAAATCTTTTAAAAAAAAAATAAAAATAGGGGCACCTGGGTTGCTCAGTGGGTTAAGCCGCTGCCTTCGGCTCAGGTCATGATCTCAGGGTCCTGGGATCGAGTCCCACATTGGGCGCTCTGCTCAGCAGGGAGCCTGCTTCCCTCTCTCTCTGCCTGTCTCTCTGCCTACTTGTGATCCGTCCCTGTCAAATAAATAAATAAAATCTTTTAAATAAATAAATAAATAAATAAATAAATAAATAAATAAATAAAAATAAATAAAATAGGAAAACAGATGGTATGAGTATGTTTCTTCATGAAAAGTGAAGAGCATTTCTACCCATTTAATAGTTATATGGCCTACTGTACTCATTTATATTCCCTATCTGACCCTCTATATTAATAATAGTTGGAGGTAGTACCTCTACCTGTTCAGTAAGCAGTAGTGTGAAACATTACAAGGTTTGGAGCAACGAATTATGTGGAATAGCTACAGTATTTAAGAACACCTGGCTTGCTTAGTCAGTAGAGTATAGTAGAGTATCCAACTCTTGATCTCTGCATTGTGAGTTTGAGGCCCACATTGGGTATAGAGATTACTAAAAAAGAAAGAAAGAAAAGAAAAAAGAGCAAGAGAGAGATTCTTCAGAAGCTAATACAGAATAGTGGGGAGGAGGAAACCACCTTAAGTCATGGAGATCTGCTAGGTAGTTATTGCAGTCATCTAACCATGTGGTGATCGGCCCTTCTAGGTTGGGGTGGTAACTTGGAAATTGGGTTTCTGTCGGCATGTTAAATTCAAATGGTTGATCTCTATGCTCTGGACAGGAAGAGAAATAATAAGTAGAATATAAGAATGACTGTAAAAAATTGATCAGGTCTCTGAATTCTGTGGTAATTAACTGATTTTTCATTCACTTAATCATTCTGTGTTCAAATTCTGTCATTTTTTTCTCTCAAATGCTGCCTCTATCATCTTCTTAAAATGGCCACAAATTTTTGTTGAGTGAGAAACAGCGTTTGAAATTTAAAGAACATGAAATAAGAAATCTTTATATAATTATTTTATATCCTAATTTGAGAGTCACATCATGCATTTATGTAAATCTTGTCTATATTTTTATATACGTCTATCTTAAACACTTCTTTATAAGTGAACAAAGGTGCTGTACAGTTCTTACAGCATTCATATTCTCACGCAGGGATACTCAAACCTTAGAGTACATCAGAATCACCTGCAGAACTTTGTTGAACTCCCCCCACCACCACCCTTTGCTGGATTCCACCCACAGTGTTTGATTTGGGGAGGGGGAGGTAGTAATTATTTGCATTTTTAACAAATTTTCCAGCCATGTTGATGCAGTTGATCCAGGAGTCGTGCTTTGAGAACACCTCCTCTAAAACCATTAAAAGTAATGGTCACTTGCACACACTTGGTGTCCGTCAGATCCATGTATATAGTTTCCCCAAAATTGTGTGGTTTTGTAGAGTTCAAGTCGAGGTCTGTCATCACTTTATCTTTTTCTCCTTGATAACCTGGAATTTAGATTGCACTTCTAAACATTAAAATAATTTTAACCACAGGAGAGCATTAAGGAAGCAGTTCGGGAAGGCAGAGTTGGCAATTAACTTTTTTTCTTGCCCTGCTAAAATATGCAGCTTCAACTTCTTTACATTTATAAAATATAAATTCAGAAAATGTAACTGATGCCTTTGAATTAATTCAGTTTAAATGACAAGCCATTTTACAGTTGTTTTGAATTGTTACAAACACATAGTCATTATGTTTCAGATTATTGAGTGAGTCATCTTCAAGTAAATGAGTGAATACATTGTGTGACTTTGGACAAATTAGCACTTTTCTAACTGAAAGGAGCATTTGTAGACTCAAAGCAAGGCCTTTTGTTTTGAGTTAAATTTGGAATGCTAAAATTCTCATCCTGGGGCTTGTACATAAGGTTAAAAGTTTGATAGTCAACTGAAAGTCCTGCCCTTATTTTTTTAATAACCCAACAACAGATAGTGGCACCAAATCCCACATTTTGCTTTAGCATTGAAAATAAGACTAAACCATTTTTTCCTCTAGGGAAGCTTTGCATTCCAAATACATGCATTAATACTTAATACAAGCATTAAGTTCAGTACTTAGGAAAACCGTAGCTGGTAAAATGAAGACCATGGTTTTTTTAGTTATTCTTGCACATTACCAAAGGCCCATTTAATTAAAAAAAAAAAAGGACTGGGAAATAAAAAAACTTTCCTAACATTTGAAGTAACTTTTATATTCTTAAGTAGCGTTAAGGTGCTGAAAAGATACAAAGAGATGTTTTTCAAGTACTTTGCAGGAGAGTTTAAGAAAATAAGGGCTTTGGGGACACCTGGGTGGCTCAGTTGGTTGAGCTGCTGCCTTCGGCTCGGGTCATGATCCCAGTGTCCTGGGATCAAGGCCTACACACTGGGCTCCCTGCTCAGTGGGGAGCCTGCTTCTCCCTCTGCCTGCTTGTGCGTGTGCTCGCTCTCTCTCTCTCTCTCTCTCTCTCTCTGACAAATAAATAAATAAATAAAATCTTTTGGAAAAAGAAAAAGAAAATAAGGGCTTTTTTGACTTTGTTTTTTATGGTATGTTGATGTTTTCCCAAAGTGAAAATGAGTATTTTTTCTAAATATAACATTTTTAAAAATCCTACAATACAGGAAGGTGTAAGGAAGAAAGTGAAAATCACTTTGTATCCTATATTCTGAGAAAATCATTCTTAGCAATTTGGATAAGCATCCTTCCAGTCTTTCCTGTGTGCATGTGTATGTGTGTGTGTGTGTGTATGTGTAAGAGTATGTCAGATTCTCTGACCTCTGCTCTTACTGAAGTGGATCAGTGATTAAATTAGCCAAATTTGAGGGCGCCTCGGTGGCTCAGTGGGTTGAGCCTCTGCCTTCTGCTCAGGTTATGATCTCGGGGTCCTGGGATCAAGTTCCACATCAGGCTCTCTGCTCAGCAGGGAGCCTGTTCCTCCTCTCTCTCTGTCTGCCTCTGCCTACTTGTGATCTCTCTCTGTCAAATAAATAAAATCTTTAAAAAAAATAAAATAGCCAAATTTGAGTATCAGAAGACCTACTAGTCTCCCCGGTTGATCTCTATATTTCTGAGAAGCAAAAGTATAAAGCATCAGGCTCCACACTCAGTGTGGAGTCTGCTTGTCCTTTTCCCTCTGCTTCTCCCCCAACTCCTCTCTCTCAAATAAATAAATAAAATCCTTAAAACAATAAGACCTATGTCTGGGGGGTGAGGAGGGGTGTTTGTGTGTTTTTAAAAAGTGGATAACTGAGGACTTGCTTGTGGATGAATGAAACTGGGGGAAATGTGTACATATGAAAGGCTAATAATCAGTTTTGAACAATGATAAAAAGGTTTTACTACTGACCTTTATAACTATGAAGGTTTCTACTGAGCTCAGAATTGAGTGGAGAAAAGAGTATATGTCAGCACCTTTTTTTTTTTAACAAGAATGAGATAAAAATATAAATGCTGACTTATAACCAGCTTTCTTCACACTTTATTTTGAATATCTTTCCATGTCAACAAGTAAATCGGTTTTTAATGGCTACGCAGAATATAATACAGAGATTTTTTTTTAACTTAAGAATATCATAGAGATAAACCAAAAAAAACAGAATCCTGAGACTCCCTCAAGCTCTATTGCTTTTGAAAACAGTGTTCTTTAGTTTATTAGTGTCACATCTGAAGTCTGTTTTAATTTTAGATAATGACTTTGCTTTGTTCTTTTGGCTAGAATTTAATATTTACATACTTTTGAAACCTTTCTCTCTGATGGATGGGGTGAGCTGCCTGTCTAGACATTGGGACTTTGTAATGTGGCTTCCTTAAGGATAAACATTGCATGCAGTAGCATGATGTAAGACTTGGTGAAGAGAAATTAAAGGCAAAGGTGCAGTGTAAACTTAAGGAGTAGGATTTCTTGAAGTTGGATGCTGCTGAGGACAGAAGTTGTTTTATCAGGAGGTGCTTGTGAACTGCTTGTAATCAGATTATAAGCATCTAAACAAGTTACTGAGAAAAGTTTTGTGTGTTTTTTGTTTTAAGATTTTATTTATTTATTTGACAGAGATCACAAGTAGACAGAGAGGCAGGCAGGGGTAGGGTGGGGAGCAGGCTCCCCACTGAGCAGAGAGCCTGATGCGGGGCTCAATCCCAGGACCCTGGGATCATGACCTGAGGTGAAGGCAGAGGCTTTACCCCACTGAGCCACCCAGGCGCCCCTGGGAGAAGTTTTAACATCATTCTTTAGTAGATGAGCTTTGCAAACAGATTGTGTTCTTACCAGAAATAAAGCAGAGGCATCTGAGTTCTCAGACCTCTCAGTCCTCAGATTGCTGAGTGGAGTCCACCTGACACTTATAATAGGATCCAAATTTAAGCAATAAATGGGCTTTCTTGGAATAATTTTCTCAGTTGCTATTGTTGTGAAGTTTCAAAATTCAAAATATTGTTTTGGCTGGATAAGTAGAATAAACTTCATTGGTATCCTTTTCAGTGAGAACTGGAGTTAGTCAGAGGCACCTGAATTATTGTCTTATTTCAGTCATCTATTCCAGATTCTCCAAAATTTGGAGACTGAGGAAACACTGGAATTGCTGCCAATTCTAATATTAGGGTATTATGTACAAACTGCCATTTTAAATTACATTTCTCTGATTAACTTCATGAATTAAATTAGATTATTAGATTTTATCAGTCTTCTTCCTAACGGTGGAATATGAGATAAACCTCTAACCCAGGTGGGTGCTAGGTTTTTCTTTATGTTATGGCTCTTAAAATTTTAATTTCATAACCTTGAATCTTGAAGCCTTAAAGAAAATTTGAAACCTCAGGTCCATCCTCAGCGTTGCTGAATTTGTTCATTCGTTCATTCGTTCTTCCTTCCTTCCTTCCCCTCTTTCTTTTAAAGATTTTTTTTTCTTTTTTTTTGAGAGAGAGAGAGCATGAGAGAGAGAATGAGAGAGAGAGAGTGCACATGAGCAGGGGGAGGTGCAGAACAAGAAACAGACTCCCTGCTGAGCAGGGAGCCCCATGCAGGACTTGATCCAGGGAGTCCAGGATGCTGACCTAAGTGGAAGGCTAATCGACTGAGCCACCCAGGTGCCCCTGCAGAGTTTTTTAATAAGAGATTTCATCTCAACCTTCTTTAGGATATAGGTGTTGAGGATTACTGTCATAACTTTTTACCCCCTGATTAAAGCTCCACTTCCTTTTAGTAAGGGTTAATTGAGGCACCTAGCTGACTCCATTGGTAAAGCATGAAACCCTTGATCTCAGGTTTGGAAAGTGAAGCCCCACTCTGTATGTAAAGACTACTTAAAAATAAGATCCTAAAAAGAAAGAAAAAAAGAATTAGCAATTACAAAGTTTACTCTCTAGAGGTCCATGATCAAGTCCCAGGACCTCTAAGTGCCTTTCTTCAATATAAGAAGCTTGGAATTGAAGAAATCCGAGGTGCACTTATTACTCAGTCCTAAATTAGTGTAAATGACTGGGGCCTTTCCCATTAGGTTTGGGGTCTGAAATTATGATGATATTAATAAGCAAAGGAAGATACAATGTTTGACATGCTCTTGATATTATGAGTAAATAAACACCTCATTTTTTAAAAAGAGACAACTAGTGTTTGCCCTGAATATCCCAAAGAAATGCTTGCTGCCCACCTGCTAACTTAGCCTAATAACTTGTATGATGGGTAATATTTGTGGAGGTTATTTCTTTTTTCCTTTTATCAGTTTTAGCTTAGCCAACCAGTTGCCACTATTTGGTGTAGAAGCTGTATATAAATTATCAGGAGCAGAGTTCAGCTGTTCCAATTCCATTGTATTTGAGCCTTGACAGAGAATAAAAGAGCCTCTAACATATTCAGGAAACTGAACAGTTAGCTCAGAGGTTGCTGAGGCAAGCCCAAGTTTAGATATGTAATAATATCTGAGATTTGATTATAAAAAATTCTAGTTCAGTATGTGCTATGGTGAGTGCTGTGAAATGTGTAAGCCTGTTGATTCACAGACCTGTACCCCTGGGGCAAATAATACATTATATGTTAATAAAAATAATTTTAAAAAATTCTAGTTCACTTGCACTGGGTTTCTGATTAATATTTTAATTTAATTCCTAGAATCAGAGAGTCCATGTTATCTTCCATTCCTCCTTATGTGCATTTATTGCTATCCATAGCTATATCCATAATGTTCATTTAGCCCAGCCCACTAGGGTTAGACCTTCATCCATTTAATATTAGTTTTTCTTAGAGTCTCACAAATGAATTCGGTTTGAAATGCTCCATTACTTTATGGAACATAAAGTTAGTAATACAGCTCTCTACCTGTGTACTTGAAATCAGAATGGTCAGCATTACATTCTTGTTTTACCAGCTTCTATTAGAAACAAGCTTTAATGTAGCCAATTCTACCTTTTGTGCTTCCCTAGCTTTTCCTAGGAGTATCAGAATAGAACCAAAAAGATAGCCAGGACAATCTCACCTCTGCCTTGCTAAATGGCTCACTTAAGCTGTGTGACTGCGTCTCTTTTTCTCTTCACCTGGCTACTTTGGGATTAGTGACAGAATTGAGGGAGAGGAGACTCTGAGAAGCACTGAAAGAATCCCAATTAGAAATTGCTGTCAGGGGGCACCTGGGTGGCTCAGACTTCAAGCGTCTGTCTGCCTTTGGCTTGAGTTGTGATCCCAGGGTCCTGGGATCGAGCCCCACATCAGGCTCCCTGCTCAGCAGGAAGCCTGCTTCTCCCTCTCCCACTTCCCCTGCTTGTGCTCTCTCTCTTGCTGTGTCTTTCTCTGTCAAATAAATAAATAAAATCTTAAAAAAAGAACATGCCCTGGTAGTTGCTATTATTATAAGTTATGCTAGTAGCCAATATTTGTTGAACTTTTACTATATGACAAGCACTGTGCTATATAAACATACACTATTTCTTTTTTTTTTTTTTTAAGATTTTATTTATTTATTTATTTGACAGACAGAGATCACAAGTAGGCAGAGAGGCAGGCAGAGAGAGAGGAAGGGAAACAGGCTCCCCGCTGAGCAGAGAGCCCGATGCGGGGCTCGATCCCAGGACTCTGAGAACACGACCCGAGCCGAAGGCAGAGGCTTTAACCCACTGAGCCACTCAGGCACCCCTAAACATACACTATTTCATATGATTCTTATAACCCAGTGGGATAGGTATTATTGTATCTCCCTCTGATTAATTTAGTAACTTACTGAAGGTTTCATAGTTAATACATGAGCTGGAGTTAGAATTTAAGTCTTCCTGAGCATGCTTTAAGATGCTCATGTAAAAAGAGGTTGAATGATCTAAAGCTGACCTTCTACATTTCCTAATGCATCTGTTGTCTTTTAACTTCCAGGCTGTAAGACTAGAAAGTACTTACCAGAACAGAACACGCTATATGGTAGTGGTTTCAACCAATGGTAGACAAGACACTGAAGAAAGCATCGTCCTGGGAATGGATTTCTCCTCTAATGACAGGTATGGTACCACAAAAGGAAGGATGAGAAAACTTCTTTTTAAATAACTATTCCAGTTGCCTTTTGAGTTACTACAAAAACATCTTATGCTATTCTACTCTTAAAGTTCAATGCCTAAAACCAGGGAGCACAAAAGTATCTTAGTCATACAGTCTTGAAAGATGATCAATGAATGTCTTTGGTTCCTAATTTATCACTATTCCTTACCTTCCTCTCATCCTTAGATGGTAATGAATATAAATGATTTAAATTGTTTAAATATAAATGATGTAAACTTATATCTCCAGGAATAAAAAGCTGCCTTATCTTTGTAGTTAACTTTATTTTAAGCAGTAATGATTCACTTTGCTGATTCTAGGGCACGTACCCTTTGTGATAGTGCACCAGTAGATTTTGGGTTCAAAGAGAGCCCACTTTAGCTCTAATCTCTTGCATTTATTCATGGCCTTACACCTTGGCTTTTACCAAATGTTTTGCTTCCTTTTTCCTTCTGAGTTAAAAGGGAGGGGTGGGAGGGAATTGATTTTTTTTAACTCAGAACAGAACCTTTTATACTCCTGCACCTTTGGCTTTAGCAGCACTTTGCATCCTATAATTAAGGGTATCATACCACACTCAGAACCTGGCTCTTTTGTGTGCCTAAAGTTTATTGCTCTCCTTTTTTATTTTCCCACTTCTTCTGGAGAAATCTTGGGAAGACTGTGGAATGTGGCTAAGCAGATCTTTGCACTCTAAATAATAAGCTGCAGGAAATCCTGCCAGATGTCTCAAAGCATTTGACTTCCTGGTTTGAAACTAGAATGGAACTGTGGAGTAGTAGCTAGCAGTGTGACCCAGGCCTGGGAGAATTTAGCCACAAAGAAGAGACTAGGAGTGATTCTAATTGTCATGATGGTGGGAGAAAAAGAATCACACTGTCATTAGGTTTCCCAAACAAGTGTTTACCTAAGCTTGTATAGTCAACCTGAAAATTATTTGTGGTTTCACGAGGATCACAAGGCCAGAGTTGTTACCTCGTATAACTCTTATAGCCTTTAATTGTATGCTCTGAAATTGCACAGGCTTGTAAACCATATTTAGGTTTTCTCCTGCATGGATTTAACCTCTGGTGTTGGCTAAGCAATAGACCTTTCAGTAAGCATTTATCCTTTAAGAGCACCTATCTTGCCTATATTCATTAGTATTTTAAGGCCTCTGATTTAGATTTTTATCTCTTTAGATCTACGCTATCCCATTCAGTAACACCACATGGTGACTATTTAAAGAAGTTAAAATTAAACAAAATTTAAATTTCAGTTCCTCAGTCACAACTAGCCACATTTCAGGTACTCTAGCTATATGGGACTCGTGGCTACATTAATGGACAGTACTATATAGAACATTTCCATCATTGCAGAAAGTTCAGTTGGACAGTGCTACTCTATATCCTATTTCCTTTGGTTTTTCCTGACTCCTCCCTTGGAAACCCCATAAAACAGGAACAGGGACTGCTTGGAAACTTCACTTGAGCCTTCCCCTAGAGATACAAAGCAACAACTTCAGATCTTCTGACCCAGTGTGTAAGAAATCAGATGTGTAATCTTATCTCTTTCACTTTGTTGTAAACATTCCCAGAAATCATAAAGAATGTTTACTAATATGGGTGCTCAATAATTTATCCTCACTGAACTGTGTCTGTCTTCAGTAATGGTCCTGCCTGAATCATATCTAACAAATGAAAATTTTATTTTATGGAAGACAAAAATGTGATGTGAAAAGCTATAGAAACTAGTTTTCATTCTGTTTGGTGAACTTTGTATTATGAATTCCCATCAATCTTCTGTGAATGAGCTCCTTGGACAGTTAAGAAAAGTGCTGCCCTCACCAGAATACTGGCACTCACATAATCTAGTATCGTTTCTAGCTTAACTGTTTTTGAAGGAGTTTGTATCATTTTATATCTGAGAATATAAAAAGTTGATGTTTCAAAACAGTACTAAGCCAAAGTAGAACCCAGATTGTTTATGACATTTCTTCCCAAATAGTTATCAAGATATGATACACAAGTTCATTTAGCCTTTTTATAGTATTTTTAAGTATTGTGTTATATTTCAATAATAATTTTTTAGTATTGTGTTATATTTTAAGTAATAAATTTGTAAATATACAATGTAACCTTGGCATCCAAATTGCACTGAATATATTTCAAATCATAAAATAATATTTTTGTGGTGGTGCTTTATAATTTTTCTTTGTACCCCCAACACCTTGAAATGTCTGGTACGTATAGGCACTCAATAAATATTTGTTGACTGGGATGAGTATCTACTAAAATAAGTACCTATACTTTAAAGGAGAAAAATCTCATGAAACTCAAGGTAAATTAGATAAAAATTATAGGTGTGCCTAATTCAGGCCTCTTTTTCCTGTTGTGTGAAAAAGGTACTCAGTGTAAAGAAGCAGCCTGACCTGAGTATAAGCTGAACATGTGATGTTTGGTTCCTGTATATAGCTGTCACTTGTCCAAAGTTGAACTGGAATCTGATCACAAGCTCACAGATCACATTCTTTTGGACCGTCTGTATTTTCTTCTATAGTTACTTAATTTCAAGATTTGTCACCAGGCTGTAAACCCTTCATATTTATACCCAAACTATACTTGTTGCTAGGAACCTGGCTAAGCACACACTTTAAAAAAAAGAAAGGAAGGAAGGAAAGGAAAGGAAGAAAAAGGAGCTACTCTGAAAATAACCCCACTCCATTTTGGGAAGCCATCTTCGAAACAAGTTTTCCTTGTGCTTACCTCATCTACTCAACAAAAATAGTGGTGGAGCTGTCTTCCTCCCTCTTGGATTCTTGCATGATAGTTCTGCATCTGGAATTCAGGCCCAGCCGTTGCAATATATAACCTGTTGCAATCTTGATTTGATTCTCTTGAATTCTGGAATCTCTGGTGGAGCACACAGTGTTCGGTGTTGAGTAACACAGGACGGCGAGTACAGTGCAAAGCATTAGACACAGCCCACCTAGGGAACAGCCTTTGTTAGCCCTGCAGTGACTCTAGTAGCAAAAGCTTGGTATTCCTCATGCTGTTTTCAATGCATTTTCATGATGTCCCTCCCCCTCCCCGTACCCCAAGTCAGTTTTAGTTGTATTAGAGCACTCATTCTAAAAATTCATATTCAACATTTGTTTTAAATGACAACACATTCATATGTATTGTTTCACTTTAAAATATTTATGATATCCCTATGAAAGTGGTTTTGTTAACTGCGTTTTAAGATGAAGAAATTAAGGATGAGAGAGGGTAAATAACTTTTCAAAAGGAATTGAAATAGTGAAGAGGATCAAATCCAGATATTTTGACGAAGTATAACTGCCCAATAAGTGGTAGTTATTGTATGTCTGGTTCTGTTATATACATTTCTTACTGTGTTATGTAATTTAATCTTCAGAAACATTCCAGTCAAGATAGTATTTTTTTTTAAGGTTTTGTTTATTTATTTGACAGAGAGATACAGCCAGAGAGGGAACACAAGCAGGGAGACTGGGAGAAAGAGAAGCAGGCTTCCCGCCCAGAGGGAGCCCGATGCGGGACTTGATCCCAGGACCCTAGGATCATAACCTGAGCTGAAGGCAGAGGCTCAACAACTGTGCCACCCAAGCGCCCCTTATTCGGTTTTAAGATTTTTTTTTTTTTTTTTTTTTTGACAGACAGAGATCACAAGCAGGCAGAGAGAGAGGAGGAAGCAGGCTCCCCACTGAGCAGAGAGCCTGATGTGGGTCTTGATCCCAGAACCCTGGGATCACAACCTGAGCTGAAGGCAGAGGCTTTAACCCACTGAGCCATTCAGGCGCCCCCTTATTCGGTTTATAGATAGGGAAACTGGAGCATAAAGCAATTAAATACTTTGCCTGAAATTATATAGTTAGTGCCCGAACCCAGGTTCCAGAGCCCATCTGATTCCAGAGCCTGTGCTCTCAACCATACTTTGCTGTTCTACCTCCCATGTCTGAGGTTCCTTCTACTATACAATGCTGCTTTTCTGGATACATTGGCAAGGAGAGGTTGTCAGAGCCTTTGGGAGACTGAGTAGAAAGGGAAGATGGTTTATGGCAGCCTTAAGGAGAGAAAGTGGCAGGGGTCTGGGGTAGATTACACTTGTCCAGAGAGGTGGTGTGATAGAGACGCTATTTCCCAATTGGTGTTCAATAAATATACATAAATCTCAGAGGTCTTCAGCAACCAGCAATAGTTCTTGGCATTAGAAATTATTTTTGGAGTTGAGTAGGATGCTGCGACCTTGGGGTGAAACCTGCCAATCACAGGTCAGTAGCAATCACCTGGATTTTTTAGACAATGGCCATTCTTGAGATAGCAATACAAGGAGCTCAGTCAGTAAGTTTTCTTTATTAATTGCATAAGGACCTGACTAACCACCTGTCTGATACAGCTACAGAGCACATGCATTAGACTGATAGTTATATGATAGAAATTCTTTCATTCTAACATGCCAGAATTTAAAGTTTAGGGCTTTATCTTTGTGCTGAAAGAGTTAATCAAGAACTGCTTCCTACAATAGCAGGAATTAACCTTTGGACTATTTCTTCTCTTGCAGTAGCACTTGTACCATGGGCTTAGTCCTGCCCCTCTGGAGTGATACCCTAATTCATTTGGATGGTGATGGGTAAGAGCTTTCCCTTTTTATTCTCCTTATAGAAGGCCAAGGGGTGGGGTTCCATCTTAGTGCCCATTCATTAAGCTCAGTGGGAGGCCCATTGTGCCCAAGTAAACTGTCATGTCAGCAACTCAGTGAGTCCTGTTTTGTAAAGTGGAGTTAAAAATACGACTTGCCAGGGCCTCTCACTTCTCTTCTTCTAGGCTGACTATGGTAAGAATCCAAACAAAGAAAAGCTAGTTTGTTGGCTCACTCTTTAATCTGAGCATGTGGGACTGTTGCAATGCTCTCCCAGAGGATGATATGTTCTGTTTCAAATAACCTCGTGCCGCCTCTGCCATCTGTCAGCCTACAGTATAACCCCTTTCTTGTGCCAATTCCTTCCAGTGACCCTCCACCCCCACCTCCTGGTGTTTTTAGAATGTGTCCCCAAGAGACCAAGATGTTTGCTCCAGTTTATAAAACCAGGGTCAGGTTTGCTAAGAACCCACAAGACTTCCAAACAGAAATATATAGCAGAACAGTTTGTCTGCAACTACAGCTGGGAAACTATATAATTCCCTAACTCCAGTGTAGGAGTCCATTCATTTTGCTTGGTAGATAAAATCAGACAATTTGTTGAAGCTTTTCAGTCAAGCCCTATACTCTTAACTTCTGCATGAAGTGTCTGATGATTTCTTCTATTGAGCCAGCAGTTACTAGTCTGAGAAATAACCTTGAAAACTCAGAACTGAAGTAACCTACTCTCATTTGTGGATTTTTATCTCATTCTTTTTTTTTTTTTCCCCTTAGTGGGTTCAGTGTATCAACGGATAACAGAGTGCACATATTCAAACCTGTATCTGTACAGGCAATGTGGTAAGAGGACTTTTAATGTCTCTATGAAAGGTTTTTTTCCTATGAAAGTTTTAAATATATTATTGGGGCAATATTTTTTGAGTAGTAGTATTTGAAATAGTACAGTTCTCTATGAAAATGCTGTATGACCTGTTTATGTGTTTAAGATTTTGTGTGATCTGTTTGTGTGGCCCTCATAGTTAAAGATGTCCTGGAAGTTCAAATTATTTCAAATTATCATAGTGGAAGACCTTAAGCCTTGGTGAACAAGTGAGATTCAGAGATGTTCTTAGACTCTGGAGGATACTTAATGAATCAGATTGCTGGCTGGAACAATTTTATAAGGACACATTGACTAAGTTAGCCCCAGTCTAGAGCCAAATCTAGAACATCACACTACTACGCATTAGTGTTCAATTTCTTAGGGTAATCAGGGATATTATTGATAGATAAGTTTCCGTTAAAATTGCTAATGACTGCAAGACTGCATAATGCAAATAAATCCTAAACATTATAGATGTTAATAATCAGGAGCCGGTGAGCTAACACTTTGTGGCTACTTAACTATGTGTCAGATATTGTGCATTACATGGATTATATCTAATCATTACACCAACTCCCTCAAAATAATATTATTAGCTCCTTATCAGTGATGAGAAAGCTAAAGTTTTGGAGAGGTTACATACCAGGCCTGAGAACATCTTTTCCATTTAGGCAGAATAGACTCTTATTCTCTTACTCTAAATTATCTAGAAAAATGATTTAATATTACTGGGGAATGGTGTGACTCTAAGATTCAGAGTCTATCCCTGAATTAAGGATTTGAATTTCAGTTTCTCATTCAGTTGCCTGCTCTGTAGTAGAAGTCCTCATGAGGAGCAGAATGGACAGAACAAAAGCCAAACAGGAATAAAGGAGCCTGAAAAAGAGACTCCAGGGAGCTCATTTGCCCTTGAATAATAGGCTTGATAGGCTTGAGATGGGTGCCTCATAAAACAGAGTCAACTGAACTTAAGAATCTTACCATTTCATACAGTAATTGAGGTGGGAAGAGTTACAGGTCATGTGTTTAAACCAGATTTTTAGTTTTAGGGCACATTCCACAGATAAATAAAAGTTTTCTCGTGGAAGACTTTTACCTTCCTTGACTAAGGCTCCTTTAAAGGTAACTGACATGTCTATTCCCAGGTACCAAGTAAAACCAAACAGCCTAAGTCCCATAAATGACAGTGTTTTCTGTTACATTTTGAGGAAGAGTACAAAGCATTTTCTTAATTCTTAAGACAAGGAAGATTCAAGTAATAAACTGGTTCAATCTTTGATATTCTAAAGCAAACTGACTAGTCCTACTTCTGTTAGCTTAGCTTATTCAGAATAAACTTTTGGGGGTACCATCTGGAGAGCAGTGAACTTAAAGTCACAGGAAAAAAGATGATCTATGGATCAAAGTGGCATTTAGACCAGGTGTTTCCTTCACAGGAAGGTAGTTACTGTAGCCTCCAACTCCCATATGCAGCTGAAGTATCTGAGGTAGCTAAGCCTTGAGTGTATTTTAGGGATCTTGCCCCAGACACATGTGGCATGTGCTTTTGAAGCACAGTTTTCCCGGCTGAAGACAACATGCACTGACTATCCTCTACATTGCACTTAGCTGGACCTTACCTTTAAATCTATGTAATGAAACTGAAATTCACAGAGAATTCTCTGAGAATTTGATAAACTTCTCTGAGAAATTAGCTCACTTTGAGTAATAGAAGGCATCTTAAAAGAATCTGCAACTTTGTTGTTTTTTTTTTTAAGGAAAAATGTTTCCCTGATAGAAATGGACTGAAATGTTTTTCCATTATCAGATTGCTAATTATCTTATGTTTTAATTTACATTATACGGGATTGACAAGGACTCAAGGAACAGACATTGTCATTTGCAGTTGGTGGTAGAATAAACTGGAACAACCTTTCTTGAGAACAATTTGCCAATATGCTTTACCATTTTGCATGCCCTTTTGACCCCGTAATTTTAGTTCTGAGAATTTATTCTAAGGTAATAATTGTGGATATGTGCAAAATTTTTAACTATAAGAATGTTTGTCAGTGTTGTAATAATAGCAAAAAATGGAGAACAATTTAAATATCTGAAAAACAGGAATTAGTTAAATTATGGAACTGTTAAAATAATCTAGTTGAAGAATATTGACATAGATGTTGACAAGAAGATGTAAACTAAAATCAAGTTTAAAATGTAGGTAGAGGGGCCCCTGAATATCTTAGTTGTTTGGGCGTCCAACTCTTGATTTCGGCTCAGGTCATGATCTCAGGGTTGAGATCAAGTCCTGTGTCAGTCTCTGCACCCAGTGGGGAGTATGCTTGAGAGTCTCTCTCTCCCTCTGCCACTGCCCTGCTCTCTCTCTCTCTAAAATAAATAAATAAATCTTTTTTTTTTTAAGATTTTATTTATTTATTTGACAGATAGAGATCACAAGTAGGCTGAGAGGCAGGCAGAGAGAGAGAGAGAGAGGAGGAAGCAGGCTCCCTGCTGAGCAGAGAGCCCGATGAGGGGCTCTATCCCAGGACCCTGGGATCATGACCCGAGCCAAAGGCAGAGGCTTTAACCCACTGAGCCACCCAGGCGCCCCAATAAATAAATCTTTTTAAGAAAGAAATAAAATGTGTACGTAGAATGTGGTCATATCTTTATTATAGATCTATGCATAGACAAAAAGACTGGGAAAATCTCTACTAAAACTTTAACAGTAGTTATTTCTCAATGGTCAGACTACAGAATATTTCTGCCTTTTACTTAAGGTCCCTAAATTTCCTAAAGTTAGTATGGATCACCTTTGTTATTGGTGGGGATTAAACGGCATTTTTCAAAGAAAGATGTAAATGGATTGCATATAGAATTCTCTCATAATAACCTCTTCCTGTAGGAGAGAGCCTTTAGCTTTTAGCTAATAAGACATTTCATTTAACAAATAGTGACTGTGCTCCAACTATGAATTAGGCATTCTTAATAGGCACTTGAGATACATCCATAAACAAAATGTAGAATGATCCTTGCTCTTATGTAACTAATTTCCTAACATTTCTGGCTTTAGCTTTTCCCAAGTATATAACTGAAAAGGTTTTTCTCAAATAAAAAAAAGAAAAGCAAAAAAAAGGGGGGGGGGTACTTTCAGTTTTGTTTACCCTTCTTGGGTTCCTGAGTTCATGGTCAGAGATTTAATTAGTATAACCAGAGCTATTCTTAGAAAGTGGCTCAAGTATATGAATAAATGGTTTAAGGAGACTGGGAGACTAAAGCAGCAAGAATGATAAATGTCATTAGATTAGTACTTCTTGGGCATGAAAGGACATGTCCTCAAGGCTTAGGGACATCTATCTATGTGATCTTTGTGGACCCTCTAAGAATCATAGGAAATATACACTGTAAGATGATTCTGTGCCAAGGGAAACAAATATTTATATAGTAAATGGTTGAGATCTTTAGTTCTGTAGTGATACAGCATACCCACAGCGTGGTTTCAACGACAGAATCATGAGCTCCAGAGGTACCCAGACGTATTTTTCACTGGTGGGTTGTCAGTTCTCCTGCCACTGTCTACCCCCATCCCTAATAATGCATCAGCAAGAAGTGTCTAGCCAATTGCTATGAATAGGTAATAGAATCAGAGAACCTTAAATTCCAGGGAATAGATTCTCTCCAGAGGCCAAATTCTCTAAGATTTAAAAATTGAAAGAGTTTTGGGTACACATGGATCATTGGCTTTGTGATGTCTCCACAGTTCTACAGTGCTCATTTCCCAGCGTATCTTTCAGGTCTGCACTACAGAGTTTACACAAGGCTTGTGAAGTGGCCAGAATGCATAACTACTACCCGGGCAGCCTGTTTCTCACCTGGGTGAGTTATTACGAGAGCCACATCAACTCAGATCAGTCATCAGTCAATGAATGGAATGCTATGCAGGATGTGCAGTCCCACCGGCCTGACTCTCCAGCTCTCTTCACAGACATGTAAGTCAGCTAACTCAGGATCACTGAAGTGTTCTCTGTTATATCCTGGGAGGTTGTAAGCAACATGTTCCTCCCTAATCTCTCCTCTTGGAGAATTAATCTTATCCAGTGATATTAGTCAATGTCTGCACTACACATCTGCCACACAAAGAACCCTATTCTTTCTGTTGTCTGCAAATGCCTAAGGAGTTTCACTCCTGGGCACAATGGAATCTCCATAGTAAAGAATTGCTATACCATAAAATCCCATTCGGATTCCACCAATTTGACATTTGAGTTTAAAGGGAGTTAGGCTGAAGTCTGCCTTTGCATTATCTGTGAAAGAAGCATTTGGTAAGCAAATTAATGACATAGAAGCTTTTTTGTTTTGTTTCGTTTTAAGATTCTATTTTTAAGTAATCTCTACACCCAATGTGGAGCTCAAACTTACAACCCCAAGATCAAGGGTCTCATGCTGTACTGACTGAGCCAGCCAAGCACCCCGACATATAGAGAAGCTTTTAAAGGGATGTTTCCAATAATTAAAAAAACAAGATGTTTCCAGTCAATTTAAAAGACTGTCTAGGATAGATACTATGCTAATTTTAAGCTGATTTCTGTTCACATATTTTTAAAAAATAATTTATAATTCAAGTGTTTGACTCAGCCCCACCATTGCCTTGTTGGGTCTTTGTCAGTGAGATTTTATTAAATCTCCCTGGTGTACTGTGAGTTGGATAAAGGCCTGAGGTGGAGTTGATGTTTTTTCCTTTTTAGGTCTATGTGTTGAAATTTATGTGACTATTTTCAAAATTAATCAGGATGTTTATTTCGCTCTGAATTGATCTTTCTACATTTCCAAGGTATTCTATAGCTGGGAAAGAAGAGTAGCTACTTACTATCTGACCATACAAACCTTCACCTTCAGATTCCTAAATGGATACCAAAACAGTTCACTGGTTTTTTTGTGTTTTGTTTTGTTTTTTTAAGAAAATGCTTAGTTTGGATAATAGTGTAAACTTATTTTTACTAGAAAAGGTGAAATTTCCAAGAATTGTGTGAACAGAGCAAGCAAAAAAGCAGTGGAAGCTTTTTGCATAGGGTGTTACTGATGCTAGGACATCCTTTTCATTAGCCCTAGTCCTTTGAAGATCCCACAGTAAAAGATAAGGATTAGTCTGGCTTTCAGAATCTTGGGAAATGTTACTGAGTTCATGCTTTATAGCTGGTTGATGGGTATCAAAGAAATGGATGTCTCATCTGGCTCAAAAATGGACATTCTAAACCAGATTTACATGAGACAGAGAAAACCCTTCTTTTCATTTCTCATGATTTTGTTAAAGAAAATTTGGATATTACATCAGAAAGAAAGAAAAGGAAAGGAAATTGGCTATAATCTGTCTCTATCCCCAAGCAACAAGAGTGATGTAAAGAGTAGTCCCTGGCGCATAGTAGAAGCTCATTAAATGTTACCTCTTAGTATGTACCATATAACCCGGATTTTAAGATACATTTACTAACCAAATGTCTGTCACAGAAAAACTGAAAAGCTGTAGGTCATAATATTATAATATTATCATAAAATAATAATATCATAAAATGATAATCTCTGATGCAGGGATTTTCAGTGATTTTGGTTTTCTTTGTGTTTTTACATATTTTCCAGATTTTTGTCTAGTGAAATTGAGCAAGAAAATGTATTTGTATTGTAATGTTTTTTCCATTCCTTCCTCCTCCCTAAATTGACTAGAAAAGCCTAAAAAACAATGCTGAGCATACAGGGAAAATGTGTGCCAAAATGGATTTAAGTACTCTACTGCAAATAAAGTTTGTATTTTGAAATACAAGGAAGGGGAAGAGGGAACATAACGTGTATAGTGCCTCCAGTGTATGTCAAATATTATGTCAAGCATTTCATACATGATACCTCATTTAATCCTCATAAGAACCTCATGAGGCAGATATGATTATTATGAGGCGATGTGATTTTTATCCTAATTTTAGGATTAAAATTCCCTTTAGAAAGGGAAACCCACTCAGAGAAGGGAAGAAATTTGTTCAGGGTCATACCACTGGGAAGTAGCAGGACTGTGATTAAAACCCAGGTGTGTCTGCTCCCAAACCACTCTGTCCCAGAGAAGTATTGTGAAAGATTAAGAGAAAGATTGCTAACTAGGGAATCTAACTCATGCACATGGATGGTAAAATTTGTTTCTATCAGTATTTTTTATTGGAAGACGGATATGTATCACTTTCTGTCACTAGCTATGTCTAGGGAAAATGGTGAGGAACATGATTAAGAATTATAATCCTGTCAAGACAGGGATGCCTTGGCAGATAGGGAAAAGGCACAGGCATTATCTGTATTCTGCAGGGCTCATGAGAAACTATGAGCCCAAGTGGTGGGGAGCCCCAAGGTTATGAGGTCAGAGCAGCCATCTTTGGAGATTACCAAAGCTATTTTTGCAGCCAGTGATAAGGCGGTAGGCAGCAAGGGCAGGCAGGATGCCTGAAGGCTTAGTCCATTTCCATCTCCAAATAAGGAGGTGCAGAGCAGATACCTTTCTTGAGTAGGTAAGAGGGAAAGATGAGACAGAAAGTCCTTTTTGTCAGCCTCACTCAAATTCTGCATAATATGAAATAGTGCTTTTAGAGAGAAGCATCCAGTTACAATGAACCAATACCTTTCTAGTAATTGGAGAGTCGACTTCGTAGTTTAATTTCTATTAAAGTTCCAAGGGTAATTTTATTTTTAAGAGTCAGAAGATTAAGGGAAGCAACATAATCCTGCAGGTAGAGTGTTAGGCTGGGCTGAGAATGCTGGTTCTCCTGCCAGTGTATGTGATCTTTGGCATGTCATTTAACCTTTTAGCTGTTTATTTCCTTTATCTGTAAAATAGGGATAACAGTTTCACAGAGATGTTATGAGAGCTTTTATGAAAAGAAACACATTTTAGATGAAAGTACTCTGGGTAGTTAATCCTTAAAAACCCATTTTGGAGTGAATTTGCCTCAATGAAGAAGGCAGAAATCATTCTTTTGTCTTTCCTGTCTCCTAGAACGATAGTAATGAATGGTCAGCATTCGGTGGCATATTAAGCTACTGAAGACCCAGTTCCATCAGTGGGTCAAACCACTGTTCTACTCAGCTTGGTATTCTAGCTCCACGAGTGGTAGTCAGGGATACTTGATGAAACAGTATGGCTGTGATTCTGCGTTAAAGTGGTATACACAATATAGCTTTCTGTCTTTATTCCTTCATAGATGCATGTGGATATATTTTAAGGGCTTTTAGACATGTACATCCTCTTCAAGTAATAATTTCTACACATTTACATTCTATGCATTGTGAAAAGAAACTTTTTTAAGTATTTTTTTCTTTTTCTTTTACTTTTTTTTGCCATGCCCCCAGAATATAAATGTTTGAGAGTAATAGAGGGAAGGTCTGCCAATTTGGAAGCATAATCAAATGGCACATTCATTAACCTAGTCAAATTCCTGCCTAAGAAAAATCACCATTTCTCTCCTCAGACCAACTGAACGTGAGCGAACAGAGAGATTAATTAAAACCAAATTAAGGGAGATAATGATGCAGAAGGATTTGGAGAATATCACATCCAAAGAGGTAAGAGACCTTGAGTTCTCCTTATTCCAAGTCCAGGAGTGTGGAATAACAGTAGGTATGGAGTTAGAAATAGTGAGTGATTGAAAGCACAGAGATACTTTTCAGAGATTAGTAAAACATGTCCTCCTTGTTTCAGATACGAACTGAGTTGGAAATGCAAATGGTGTGCAACTTACGAGAATTCAAGGAATTTATAGATAATGAAATGATAGTGATCCTTGGTCAAATGGATAGCCCTACCCAGATATTTGAGCACGTTTTCTTGGTAAGTCTTAGAGCCACTCACAGTGCTGTGCGGAATCTAGTCCATACTAGCTCTGGAGGAGCAACTGTTAAATTTTAGTATATTTAAAATAAAATGTAACTTAAAGACAAAGGTAGTAAGTATTCAAACCTCATCACTTCCTAGTTTTTTACTACATTTAACTGTTATCTGTGCTCTTAGGTTATTCACATGTATTATATGGTGGAAATGTTAGATAATGGTGTGCTTCTGCTCATATCTTCCCAATTCCTCATTTGGTGATGTCAAGCTGATAGATTAAAATTGACTAGTGGGAAAATTTACACCAAGGAAGTAGGCAAATGCTACAAATCAGGCCCTTCCCCTCCACCTTGGATTGTTAAATATCTCATCTGTTCTTCATGACAGTCAAAAGTCAAAAGCAGACCAGTTCACAATAGTTTGTGTTTTTTTTAAGATTTTATTTATTTATTTGACAGACAGAGATTACAAGTAGGCAGAGAGGCAGGTAGAGAGAGAGGAGGAAGCAGGCTCCCTGCTGAGCAGAGAGCTCAATGCAGAGCTCGATTCCAGGACCCTGAGATCATGACCCGAGCAGAAGGCAGAGGCTTAACCCACTGAGCCACCCAGGCACCCCCGCAATAGTTGTATACAGCGTATACAAATAGAATGATACTTTGAGGTCATTCTTTCAGATTTGCCAAATTTGCCTTAAGTCTTACATATCTGAGTAGAGCAGGTGGGAACTACTTATGACTGAGAGACTATTGGACTTTTAAACATTTGGAACTTTATAGCTAGCTACATTTTGAGTCCCCCAAATACTTTTGTGTTTGCTAAAATTTCAGTGACTTAAAATTGTTCTTCATGGTTTCCGAACATTCAGTGACCTGAAATTAGCCCAAGGACACCTTTCTAACTAATGGATTAGGAAAGCTTCTAAAATCCCATTTTTCTCCCAAATATTAAAGAGTTTTAGTTTCCATCTGTACATGGTAGTAGGAATAAGGTTAAAAAGGATAATTAAAATCAGTGGGAATGTCAGAACTTTGTTTTGCTTCCACTTCCCACACACTTTGACCAAAAATGCTAACAAGGAAATAAATTGATTGGTTTGAATTTCGCTTCCTTTCTCTGGTGAGGACGTTTGTGAAATGATAAGAAGCTGAGAAACAGGAAACAAGAGGAATAAATACACAGGAACTGACTAAATTGGATCATCTTACCCCTGAATATTCAAGAGTTTGTATCACCAGGCAGTCAGATTTTATGCCATTGAAGGCTTGTGCCCTGAATTAACTTTATGACAGTCTTGAGTATGTGTACTTGCACAATGATTCATAGCGCTGTATAGCTATGAAATTACTCATGAAAAGCTGTGAGCTGGAAAGGGAACTTTTTTCCATTACTTTAACTTGACCAATGTGTGTTGCCGTTTCTGGGTGTAGATCATAATGCAAAACTATCATTGACCTTTCCATTTGTAAAGCACTTGACTTTGTTGTCTTTTGCGTCTACCTCCACAAGGGTTCAAGTATTCCCTGCTGGTGTATTGTTGGAAAGAATATTTTGTGTTATCTATAGAAAACTTATGAGTCACTCATTCAAATGGACCCTGCCCCCAACTGTGTCTGTGTAACATGACTAATTTTTATGAAGGGCAAGTGCCTGTAGCCAAAAATAGCTCATGTTAGAAAATGATCAGAGCTATAAACTTGGAAGTCACTTTTGCATTAGCTTGTATTTTAACACCAAAAAGATGTGGACATGATGAATATTAAATACAGTTACTGTCAGACTGTTCAATCTGTTTAATTTTGGGCTTACTTCCCCGTGTCTCTGGTACCACCCCCCTCAAGAACTACCTTCTTTCTTCCTCCTGAAATGATATAATTTAGAACATATAGAGAAATTTTAGTGGTACTCTTAGCAGAAAAAACAGTCCGCTTCTCCCCAGATTAGTCTCTAATCAACTACAAATTGAGTATTTGTACCAGTATATTCATCCTAATATTTCATAATTGTTGGCATAGTCTTCTTTCTTGGCTTTTTTACTTATTACAAAAATAATTCACGTTCATTAGAGAAAGCTTAGACAATTTAATTTTTTTAGTGAGCTACATGAGGTCCATTCCTTTCTATTTATTTTTTGATTGAAGCATAATTAACATACAATGTTATATTAGTTCCAGGTGTGCAACGTAACGATTCAACAATTTTATACATTACTCAGTGCTCACCACCGTAAGTGTAGTCACCATCTGTCACCATACAATGTTATCACAACATTATTGACTATATTCCCTATCCTGTACGCTTCCATCTCTGTAATTTATTAATTTTATGACTGGAAGCTTATAACTCTTAATCCCCCCCACCCAGCTTTCCTCTGGCAGCCACCAGTTTGTTCTCTGTATAGAGTCAGATTTTACTTGTTGATTTTTTATATTTCACCTATAAGTGAAATGATATGGTATTTTTCTTTCTCTGACCTATTTCACTTAGCATGATTCTTGGCATGTTCTTCTGTGTTGGGTTATTTTTTTTTTTTTAAAGATTTTATTTATTTATTTGAGAGAGAGAGATCACAAGTAGGCAGAGAGGCAGGCAGAGAGAGAGGAAGGGAAGCAGGCTCCCTGCTGAGCAGAGAGCCCGATGCGGGACTCGATCCCAGGACCCTGAGATCATGACCTGAGCCGAAGGCAGCGGCTCAACCCACTGAGCCACCCAGGCGCCCTGTGTTGGGTTATTTATTACAAAAATAATTCACGTTCATTGTAGAAAGCTTAGTTTCAAAAGACGGTAACATTTAATCGTCAGCAAAAGAGATAAACAGTGATACCTTTTGTTATATAATATGCCAGTCTTACTTTTTTAACATGTGCCTCTATATTTTTGAAAAAGGGAAATCCTACTCCGCTTCAGATATAATTCTCTTTTTTAGAGAATGGATATGTTCTTTCCATTGTGAATATTTTTCTTATTTGGGAAAAACTTGCAAACTGGAGAATTCTGAAATTTAACTCTTATCCAACAAAGTGAGTGCATGAACACTTTTTCATCAGTGGCTTCCCCCTTTGTTTGCACCACCATATCCTTCCTATATCCAAACCCCTATCTCTTCCCTCTGTGAGTCTGTGCTCTGCTGGCTTTCCTAGCAATTGACACGGAAAAAGAGGTCTTATTCAAGCTACAAGCAGTGGTGTTAATTTTCTGCAAAGTCATTTCATCTTGTGCGTAGCTGCCATGCCTGGAGTGCAAGCAGATTGTGTGAAGGGAGGCAGCAGGATTTTTCCCTTCCTTTAGAAGAATGCTCAGCTCTGCAGTGCAGTGCACAGGGATGTTTATTTAAAAAGGTGTCCAGCTGGTATGGAGAAGAAAAGTATAAAGCATAGTTTTAAGAAAATCCGCAGCAAGAAGAGAGGAATGATTGGTTGGAAGCCAGGGTATTTCCAGAAGAAGTTCTTCCACACCCTTAAGAGTGTACCACTTCTCTGAGCTGGAAGCCTTTGCCCAACCAAGTCTCAATATCAACAGTTCTCCTGGAGGTTGTCCAGTTCGGCTGAGAAAAAGCCAAATGTGAACAGAGACCCTTTGCTGAAAGACAGGCAGCTTTCTTAGTTGAACAAGGGAAACACGGGAATATTGGACACAGCCAGTAATTTTGTTCATGAATAAAAACGAGTCGATTTTTATTGCTGATGGTCATCTTTTTTAATATTTTTACATTACAGAATAATGTTTCCTTTTCAAAGAAAAATTAAGCCCCAAATTGGTAGTTACTTCTGCAGGTGCAGAGAAATGAAGGATATGTGAATAGATGAGACTTAAATCAAATGGGCTATTTTAATTATTCATGATTTTGGTCCATCAGCTGGAGATGTGTAGCATGAACTTTTCTCAGAAGGAAAAATGAACAGAACTCTTATTCCTGGTTGCCTTCATAATGTGACTCACAGTATTGCGGCTGTAGGTATGGTAAGTTGAAGAAGATTTGGACAAGGCACCAGCCCTTGGAGATTATATCAGGTTATATTGATCCTAGCAGAACCTGAATACAGTCCTCCTTATTTGCTTATTATTATTATTTGCTATGAGCTCCTTATTATTTGCTATGAATGTGCTCTCTTCTCTTTTGCTTGGAGCATTTGGACCCTCACAAGGCTATTTCTAAGGATAGTATTTGAAAAGAAATTAGTCATTGGGGGTGCCTAACTGGCTCTGTCAGTGGAGCATGCGACTCTTCATCTCAGGGTCATGAGTTCAAGCTCCACATTGGGCATGGAGCCTACTTAAAAAATTTAAAAAAGAAAGAAAGAAATTAGTCACTTGGGCCTCTGGGCTATGGCACAGTGTAGGGAAACCAGAGTGAAAGATGGAAATGAACTTACTTAAAAATGTATTATAGTCCCAAGATTTCATTTTACACTTTAGTAAGATTTGAATGTGCTTTGCATAATTATATAGAACATAGTGAAAAACCCCATGGAATTGTGTCATTGTAAGCCTGAGAAGCATGGAGAGGGGGGAAAGAAAAAGAGTCTTTGGAGGGCTCCAGGGGGCTAATATGCATAGTATTTATATTGAGGGGGAAAAAGTAATTACACCATGTTGACTGCAGTTCTTCCTTTCAGGTTGAACCCAAGCACAGTCCCAAGTCATGTTATATGGACTTCACCGAGTCAGTAGCCAAAGCTTTTCTTTTATTTTGTTTCTGGATATGTGCCATTTCAGATTGTCAGGTTGAATTTTCTCTGGACAGGTAGATGAAAACCATGAACTTTTCCCATCATGTAAGGGTTATTTCCATCTAGCTGGACAAAGTTCCACAGAGGATTTAGACTTCTAAATTAAGAGGTGAAGTGGTCACATTTCCCTGGCTACCATTTAGCCTCTCAACCCTTATTGCTTGGCTTCTGTCTCCTTGAAGTTCTTTACAGTTCTTACCTCTTTCTTTGGTGTGGCAGCTTGTTTTCAAAGGTTAATAAGCACAGAGTCTTCAGAACCTCCCTATTTTTTTGAAAGCAACTCAGCTGAGCTCTCAGGTCTGTAGAAAAGATCAGTTGCCCATCAGTTACTGTCCTTTTCCTGAATGGAACTTCACAGCATCCTTGATGTATATCTCTCAGTTCAACAGCCAAATTAAATAACGTATCACTTGTCTTGTGATGATAATGCTTACATAACATTTACAGTTTTCAGAGTGCTTCATTTGCTGATCTTATTTGATCATTCATGCAATAAACATTTGTTGACTCTTTTTTTATGCCAGGTGTGAGGCTAGATACTTGTCCAATCTGATCTGTTTCTATAAGGAAGAGTAATGAACCATATCAGATATGCATGGAATGCCAGGGGATAAGCCATGGAAGACCCCCGGAGTAGATAATTAGAAGTGGTCATTAGTAACACTAGCAAGAGTGATGAGGGCAGAAATCACAGTGCTGTAAGTTGAAACATATGGGAAATGAGAAATCAGAGGAAGTAATAGATTTTATTTCTATGAATATTAGGAAGGGAAGAAATGTCTAGAAAGAATGTCTAGAAGAGAATTCAGGGTAGAAGGTTTTTGCACTTTAATATGGGAGAAACTGGATTTTTTTTTTTTTTTTTTGGTCGGGGGTTGGGGGTTGGGATGGGGACTTATAAACAAACTTATTTCTCATAGTTCTGTAGGCTAAAATCTGAGATCAGGGTGCCTGCATGGTCAGGTGAGGACCATATTCTGGGTCATAGACTTCTTTGTATTCTCACATGGCTGAAAGGATCAGGAAAACTTCCTATTTGTGATTTGAGAAGGTACCCATTTAGGTATATAGGACTATGGTGGGAGGAGTATCCATTTTACAGGTAAGGAGAGCAAAGACGGAGAGGTTAGCAATTTGCCCAGTGCCCCACAGCAGTGTGGGAAGTTGGGATTTGAACCTGAGTCTTCTAATGCTAAATTCCATTTAATGCATAATTCTAAAATAGATAAATTCCTACTTTTAAATGTTTGCCTTTTCAAAAGAGATGAACAGATAATCCAAAGATAGAAAATGGACCTGAGGGGCGCCTGGGTGGCTCAGTTGTTAATCGTCTGCCTTCGGCTCAGGTCGTGTTCCCGGGGTCCTGGGATGGAGCCCTGCATCGGGCTCCCTGCTCAGCAGAAGGCCTGCTTCTCCCTCTCCCACTCCTCCTGCTTGTGTTCCCTCTCTCACTGTCAAATAATTTGTCTCTCTGTCAAATAAATAAATAAAATCTTTTTTTTTTAAAGTGGAAAAAAAAATGGACCTAAAGCAATGAAAAGTTGTTAACTTTTACTTTTAAGAGAAATGCAAATTGAAATTACACTGACATACATTTCATACCTATCAGATTGGCAGAAATTCAGAAGCTTAACCACACATTTTGTTGGCAAAGCTGTGGGGAAAGTGACACTTTCATACATTGTTGGTGGGAATGCAGAATTGTTTCAGCCTGTATGGAGGGGAATTTAGCAATGTCTAACAAAACTATGCATTGGCCCTTCACCCAGCAACCTCACTTCCACAAACATGATACAACATTCATAGGAGACTAATTGAATAAACTATTCTATCACTATCCAATGAAGTGTTATATAAGTGTAAGAAAGAATAGGGAAGATCTCTGTGAACTGTGATAATGGAGTGGTTCCGAGGACAATTGTAAAGTGAAGCAAGTTAAGAACAAAAGTATGTGTAGTATACTACTTTTATGTAAGAAGTGGTAATAAGGATATATTTGTTGTTGTTATTGTTGTTGTTGTTTTCAAAATAGAACATAGATAGAATAAGCCAGAAACTAATGAAAATGGTTACCCTTGGAGATTAAAGAGATTGAAGTGAACTGAGTGAGACTTCAAGTTTACTTTTTAATAAACTTTTAACTTTCAATCTTATGAAAGTTTTGCATATTCAAAATCAGATGGAAAAAACACACCCTAAAGTTGAATGCAAACGGGAGCACATGAACCCAAATGTATAGCAAATGGATAACTTCACAGAAGGAAATTAATTTGGGGTACCTGGGTGGCTCAGTAGGTTAAGCGTCTTGATTTCACCACAGGTCATAATTTCTCGGTCCTGGGTCCTCCGCGTGGGGCTCCCTGCTCAAGTGAGGAGTCTGCTCCTCTCTCTCCGTCTGTGCTGTCCCTCGCTCTCACCCTCTCTCAAGTAAATAAATAAAATCTTTTTTAAAAATTATTTTTAAAATAAAATAATTACTTTAAAAAGAAGGAAATTAATTCAAATAAGTTTTGAGCATAATATTCTGAATGAACCTCTTCATAGGAAGAGAAAAGAACTGCAAAGAAAATTTGAACTGGATAGATTTGTATTTGGTTATGATATTGGTGTAGTAATGTTGAAGTTATTTTGTAAATAGAGTTAATGAGTTGTTGGAAACCAAGGTTATCACTGTGAAATAGATAAAAATGATGACAAAGGGGCAAGAAAAAAAGGGAGAACTTTGTGTTAACTTTGAATTGGAGGTACCTGTGTAAATTCAATTTTTAAAAAAGATTTTATTCACTTATTTGAGAGAGAGCATGAGCAAGGAGAAGGTCAGAGGGAAAAGCAGACTCCCCGTGGAGCTAAGAGCCCGATGCGGGACTCGATCCCCGGACTCCAGAATCATGACCTGAGCTGAAGGCAGTTGCTTAACCAACTGAGCCACCTGGGTGCCCTCAATTTTTTTTTTTTTTTCAGTAGGCTCCACACCTAGTGTGGAGCCCAAGGCGGCGGGGCGGGGGTGCTCAAACTCGTGACCCTGAGGTCAAGAACTGAGCTGAGACTAAGAATTGGGTGCTCAACTGACTGAGCCACCTGGTACTCCTGTAAATTCAATATTTTTTAAAAAATATTTCCTGGGGAGCCTGGGTGGCTCAGTGGGTTAAGCCACTGCCTTCAGCTCAGGTCATGATCTCAGGGTCCTGGGATCGAGTCCTGCATCGGGCTCTCGGCTCAGCAGGGAGCCTGCTTCCCTCTCTCTCTCTCTCTCTCTCTCTCTCTGACTGCCTCTCCATCTACTTGTGATCTCTCTCTGTCAAATAAATAAATAAAATTAATAAATAAATAAAAAATATTTCCTGATCTGTCCACTGAAATTTGGAAGCAGTAACACCCAATATTTATGAGCATATCTAATTAATGTCCAGGTTTTTATTGCAAAATATCATTCTTTGCTAAAAGAAACCAGGGCTCCTTGGAGAAATCACTAATTCCACTCACGAAGTAAATCTGGAACAATTTCTTATGCCAGAAAGCAAGGAAATACTCAGAAACTAGCAGGGTCATATAAAAAAGAGCTTGCCTGCTTGAAGAGAATTCCCACTGATCAAATTTAGGACAATTTGAGTGTCAGAAAAAAAAAATGGTGATGGATTGTAGAACATTTTTTTTTTTTAAAGATTTTATTTTTATTTATTTGACAGAGAGAGATCACAAGTAGGCAGAGAGGCAGGCAGAGAGAGAGGAGGAAGCAGGCTCCCTGCTGAGCAGAGAGCCCGATGCGGGACTCGATCCCAGGACCCTGAGATCATGACCTGAGCCGAAGGCAGCGGCTTAACCCACTGAGCCACCCAGGCACCCCGGATTGTAGAACATTTTAAATACAAAAAGAATTCAAGAACTCGTAGTGGCATTCAGAGTGGAAGGAATGACTAGGTGAAACTCTCTTTTACAAAGAAGAATGCCAGCTCCCATGCAGAAGGAATAATAGAATTAAAAAACCACCATTTTGTCAACGTCCAGTAAGATTTTTTGGACAAGGTTAGCAGTTAATGCTAAAACCATAAGGTAAAAGATTTTTGTGAAACAGGATATTCACCTGACTTTAAAGATTACTAATACCTAAAGATTACTAATTAATTGTAAAGAAACCTTTACAGTACAGTAGTGGGATGTGGCAGATACAAAGGTACCTACCAAGAATTCAGGTTCAACCTGGCAAACAAGGAGACAAACGAACGTTATGTGCCTCAAGATTTGATGCCATAGGAAATACACAATACCAGCGTTGTATTATTCTCGACAAGAATTTTGATCTGAATCTAATTATCAGGAAGCAAATCAGACAAATTTAGATTGTGAGGAGTTCTCCAAGATTACAAACCTGTAGTCTACAAAAATGTCAATATCATGAAAACCAAAATAAATAAAGTTGGAGTAAACTGTCTAAGACCAGACTGAATGAGAAAGAAACATGCGGGGGGTGGCACGCCTGGGTGGCTCAGTGGGTTAAAGCCTCTGCCTTCAGCTCAGGTCATGGTCCCAGGGTCCTGGGATCGAGCCCCGCATTGGGCTCTTGGCTCAGCAGGGAGCCTGCTTCCCCCTCTCTCTGCCCGCCTCTCTGCCTACTTGTAATCTCTGTCTGTCAAATAAATAAATAAAATCTTTAAAAAAAAAAAAAAAAGAAAGGAAGAAAGAGACATGGCAACTAAATGCAAAGTATGATTCTTTTTTTTTTTTTTCTTAGATTTTTATTTTGTTTATTTGAGAGAGAGCGCATAATCTGGGGGAGACAACTTTCCAGCATGTGATCTTGAGCAGAAATTATTTGAATTATTTGAGGGCTGGTTTTCTGATCTGTAAAAATGAAGCTTACTTTTTTGCCCTGTCATTTGTGAAAATTAAATGTGGTCATGTATAAAGTACTGGACCTATAGAAGGGAACCATGATAGATGTTGTTGGTTCTGCTTCTTCCCTTATAGGACTCCTTTTCGAGTATTGTATTTTGTTCATTTGCTAATACTCCCTAACCTTGTTTTCCGTTGTTGTTGTTGTTGCACAGGGCTCAGAATGGAATGCCTCTAATCTAGAGGATTTACAGAACCGAGGGTAAGCACACATAGCAATTGCTTTTATCCCCTTGATATAAATCACTGTTCTTTTTTCCTTTTTCCTGTCAAATAGGTGTCCATGAGTAACTTTAAGCCTAAGAGTTGCTTCCATTTGATTCTAATCAGGTGAAATCTAATAAAAAGTTAAGTGGGCATTCTCCCACTGTTTCATCCTCCCCCCCCCACACATCTCCCAGAAAGAGCACTGTTTCAGAGGAAAGGCTTTCCAAAATAAATGTGCATGCCTTTCCTGCTCTTTAAAACAAATGTAGTTAGTGGTTGCTTTTGTTTGTTTTTAGAACAATTTAAGGTGCACAGTAAAATTGAGCAGAAGGTACAGAGATTCCCCATATGCCTCTGCCCCCACACATGCATAGCCTCCCCTATTATCACCGTCCCTGCCAGAGTGGTGCATTTGTTAGAACTGATGACCCTACACTGATACGCATGTCGTAATCATGCGAAGTCCATATTTACATTACAGTTCACTGTCGGTATTGTACATTCTGTGGCTTTGGACAAATGTGTAGTATCATGCATCCATCATTATGGTATCATACAGAGTATTTTCACTGTCTTAAAAATCCTGTGTTCTGCCCATTTATTCCCACCCCCACCCCCTGGCAACCACTGATCTTTTTACTGCCTCCACAGTTTTGCCTTTGATTCCTATTTCCTTGTAAGAGTACACAGATCTGCATATGTCGGGTTCACAGTTATTCCCTCAACATTTACTGACCATCTTCTGTGGGCCAGGTTCAGTGCTAGATACTAGGGATCCAAAGAAAAATAAGACTCAAGTCTGCATCCTTTTTTAGTAAGGTGCTTGAAATCTAAGTAGGTTATAAATGTAAAATAGACAAGCTTCTGAAATTGAACAAGAATACCTACTTTGTATTAAGAAATGTGCCCCTAAGCAGCATGGTTATTGAGTTTGATTGTAGCTGTTGAGAGCACCATCAACGTTCAGCAAGCAAAAAGCTGCCATTCCTCTTCCCTTTTGACTTCTTAGCTAATGCCTAAATTTTTCATTGAACTTGGCCATGCTAAACTCTTAGTTGTGCCCAGCGATAAGACCTACTGACACCCAGAAGTAGGGATGGCTAGTTCCTGGCCGCCTGTTTTCCCAGCTATAAGCCAGCCTTCTGGTTATCTTTAGCGTAATTAGTTGCATACTCCCTACTTTTCCTTCGAAAGAAAGGTATGTCATAATTGCTAAAATGAACCTGGAACAAGACTTAAGCCAGAGACTTATACAAAGAGTTCTTGGGGTGGAGAGAAGTGGGGAGTGAAGCTGGTTACTTAATTTAAGATATGAAAATAAATAGAACTTGGAAACTTTAAATTGATTAGGATTGAGTCTAGAGTTCTTGAAAATAGAGACTGTATCTTGGTTTTACGTAAAACATATATCTACTTAGCTCAAAGCTTTATACCAAGAGGGTACTCAGTAAATGTGAAGGGACGATAGAAAAACTGACAGTGACTTGCCAGAAACTAGCATGTAGATACAGTGTTTAACATGAAATCTGAGCTTTGATATAGCCAGTGCTTGCCAAATGTATTGAAATTACATTGTGCACATATACACTTTGACTTATAACACACACACACACCCCCGCTGGAGATGATACCTGTTCATCTCATTTACTATTTATAATGCTAAATTATAAAACACAGAGGTATTTGTCTTAAAAGACAGTATAGGTAGATGGTCAGACATCTACTTAGATCTTGTTTCATAAATTCACTGGTTCTTAAAATCTTGTGGATTGAGAATTACAGTTATAAAACATGTATACTGCCCCTTTTGGATTTAGGGGATGATTTTGGGATTTTCAGGTCTAATTTTGGCAATAAGGCCATTTTCACCCAGTGTACTAACCAGAACCCCAAGTAAAGTGCCACTCCATATAGAGATGTCAAAGAAGTTTCGAGGCGTGCTAATTTTTTTTAATTTTATTTTATTTTTTCAGTGTTCCAAGATTCATTGTTTATGCACCACCCCCAAAGCCCCATGCAATATGTGCCCTCCTTAATGCCCACCACCAGGCTCACCCATCCCCCAACCCCTCTCCCCTCCAAAACCCTCAGTTTGTTTCTCAGAGCCCACAGTCTCTCCTGGTTCGTCTCCCCATCTGATTTCCCCCAACTCACTTCTCCTCCTTCTTCCAATGTCCTCCGTGTCATTCCTTATGTTCCACAAATAAGAGAAACCCTATGATAATTGACTCTCTCTGCTTGACTTATTTCACTTGGTATAATCTCCTCCAGTCCCATCCATGTTGATACAAAAGTTGGGTATTCATCCTTTCTGATGGAGGCATGATACTCCATTGTATATATGGACCATATCTTCTTTATCCATTCAAAGGAGTGCTAATTTCAATTGGTAGTGACTGCCTTGGGGTTATGTAATGAATAGGATTGGGAAGCCTTGTTCTATCATAATTCATTAGTGAAGTATGGGATTAGAGGTGGGAAGTTATTCATTTTTATTTTAATTAAGAGAAGTGTGCTTTCCTTTTGACAGTTTCATTGAGATATAATTCACATATAGTTCACCCACTTCAAATGTACACTTTAATGATATTTATTATTTTTAGAGAATTATGCAATAATTAATTAGAACATTTTTTCAGCCAAAAAGAAAATTCTATACCCTTTCAGAGTCACCCCCATTTCCCTTCTGCCCCAGCTTCTAGAAACTACTAATCTGCTTCCTGTATCTATAGATTTTCCTATTCCGGACATTTCATTTAAATGGAATCATATAATATGTGCACTTTTAAGAAGAGTTTCTTTTACTTTATATTTTCAAGGTTTATCAGTGTTGTAGCATGTGTTATGACTTCATTCCTTTTTTTTTTAATTGTCAAATAATGTTATTTTGTTTGGAAATAACACTTTTTATTTATTCATTCATCAGTTGGTGGACATTTGATTTGTTTCCACTTTCTAGCTATTATGATTACTGCTGTGACCATTCATGTACAAATTTGGGGGTAAATTTATTTTTCATTTCTCTTGGGTTTATACCTAGGAGAGGAATATTCTGGGTCATACAGTTACTCCATGTACTGTTTTCCACAATTGCATGTGCTTGCTTTTTAAATTAAAAAGAAAAAAAAATCCTTTCTAGTAATGGACTTTGATGCAAAGTTAAAACATTCAAATCATGTTTCAGAAAAATTTTGGTCTCTTGACCTTAACCACAAGATGGATCAACTCTGACTCTCCCTTTCTGTAGTCATTTCTCTGACTTCAGAGACTGGGTTTGTAAGATCCCTATGTGTAGTTCCACAAAGGAAGCAGCTTCTGCAGAGCAAAATAAGTGAGTCCGTGTTGTGTTGTTGGAGTAAACTCCAGTGACGTCCAAGTCCACACAGCACTGAGAAAAGATAACCATTTGGCAAATTAAGCCTAACCATTTACTGAAATTGTACAGTGAGAGAGACAGCAGAAGATATTTGTGATACAGAAAGCCTTCTCTATAAGCCTCTGGGTTATGTGAGAACTCTCAGACACACCTGCTGTGACAGCCAAAACTGCAGCCGAGAGAGTTCCGAGAGTTTTAGGTCCAGCTTAACTCTGACCCTCCCAGCCCTCGTCTCCTTTGCCTTTCTTATAGTTTACAGAGAGTAACAGAGCAAAATCTAGCATTTAGAATGAGGAGGGAATATTCCCCTTCCCTCTTTTGCTGTTTTTTGTTTCTTTTGAGGTAGACGTTAATAGTCTGATTTAATACAAATGACTTCCAAAGAATAAATTAAGTTTCTGGTAATTTTATTGACTAAAGAGAAATGGTCAGATCATGGACCTTAGGTTGATTCTTTGAAGTAAAATACAAGGCATATTTTCAAAAGACTATCAAAGATGAGACTGTGTAACATAACTGAGAATGGAATTTAGATATTAAACTTGGTAGACAGCTTTTCTCCCAGTAATTCGTTGGTGCCCAGGTATGTCCTGGATTCTGTTATTATATGGTTTCTGTACCAAATTAGTGTATAGCCTCTTTATTTTTTAGCTTTCTTCAATATTTTAGTATTTAATTTCAACCTAAGGAGTAAACTATAAGTAAGAACAGTGCTGGCATTGGATTTAGCCTGAGTAGTAAAGCACACATTCTCCCTTGGTCCCCTTGCAGGGTGCGGTATATCTTGAATGTCACTCGAGAGATAGATAACTTCTTCCCAGGAGTCTTTGAGTATCATAACATCCGAGTATATGATGAAGAAGCAACAGATCTCCTGGCTTACTGGAATGACACTTACAAATTCATCTCTAAAGCAAAGTGAGTAATGGTCCCACATACATGCTCTGACCCATGTCCCCTCCCTGCACCACACACGGCTGGGTCCTGCAAGCTGTAGACGGCTTACTGTCTGTACTCTGGGAGAAGGAATTAAACAAAAAAAGGAGACTGAGGTTCCTTAATCCTGGGGAGAATTTGACCGGTGATTCCATATTCCCTGTAAGTAGATGAATCCCCTGGACGAAGATAATCTCCTATTGACTGTTTGCACTGAGCCCGAGGTGAGGGAGGGCAAATGGAAGATGCTGCAAATGCAGTAGGAGTGAGAGAAGGAAGACGTTCTGAAGGAAGGGCTGAGTTGCCAAAGGGGATGTGGGAAAGCTAGAGAACAGAGACGACTCCAGGTGGGTGGGATACTGAGTCCTCCTTTCTGAAGACTAAAAGGGAAACTTAGCCTTGGAACTCCTTTTTCATTCTTCTCCTTTACCCTTATGGGACACTAAACAGTGAAATTTTCCTCTGGCCCTCCTGTTCATGTCATCTTTAAATTAATTGGTCCTTTTAGTGAAACTAATAGTATTAATTTAATGTTTAGTGTTAATTAGTATTAGTATGTCAACGCTGTTGTTTTGTTTTTTTTTTTTAAGATTTTATTTATTTATTTGACAGAGAGAAATCACAAGCAGGCAGAGAGGCAGGCAGAGAGAGAGGAGGAAGCAGGCTCCCTGCCGAGCAGAAAGCCCGATGCGGGGCTTGAACCCAGGACCTGGGATCATGACCTGAGCCGAAGGCAGCGGCTCAACCCACTGAGCCACCCAGGCGCCCCAACGCTGTTTTTTTTTTTAAGTCCCTGGGGATTTCCTTGCCAATCCTATATATTCCTTCAATAGAAGGAACCATAAATGAGCATGTTGGCCACGCTGCCCATTTGATGGGACCACGTTCAAATCATCCCTGACAGATGAGAAGCACTTCTCATTTTTAAAGTCCTCCTACAGCGGTGATTCCATGTCTTTCTGCAGAACCTCCATAGTCAAGAAGTTCTTCCTCTTAGTTACCCTGAATCCTCCTACACTAGCTTTGAGCCCATACTCTCAGTCTCTAGCTAGCACCTGGAAGAGTGTTTTATATTCTTGAAGCCTATTACTAAATAGTTCTCAGTAATACCACTCATGGCATGCTTACTATGTGCCAGGTACTTTACACTTTATCCTCTCATGTAATATTTTCCAAAACCCAGAGAGACATATACCGTCATCCTTTTGTACAGATGGGGACAGACTATAGAGGTGAGGTTCAGAGAAGTTAGGGAACAAGTGGTGAAGATAGGACTTAAACCTAAGATCGTGTCTTACTTCCGTGTCCATCCGGTATTTAGGAATAGTCTAGTTCCTTAAGGAAGGGAGACTGGAAAAGACTGAGCAAGTGGTGAGGATCGCATCCAAAGAGGCTAGAGTTCAGGTGAGGCCCCAGTCCCAGTGAAAGGAAAGGCCAGTTTCAGCCCTGAGGTGAGATATGTGAGGCATGCGGGGTACACATGAGCGGGCAGTCGGGCTCTTGCTTGGGCTCATGCAAGTGTAGGTCAGCGTCTGAGAGGAAGCGCCTCCTTAAATGGCACCCCAGGCACCTCACGTGTTTCCTCCCGATCAGGGCCCTGAATTCCAGACTCAACCTACAGATGGGTGGGTTTAGGATTCCTGAAGGAATACCAGGCTTAATCTAGACAACCTAGCATGGGAAAGGGCCAGAGGGGTTGGGGGGTGCGTGGCTGAAACTGAAGACGAAATTGGATTTTCCGAACTGACTTCAGATCCTTCAATATGTGAGTTAGAAGCCATCCACTGAGAAAGCCCCATTCAAAATGAAGAAATGCTTTTATGGGGGTGGATTTCATAACTGTATGTTTCTTAAAATTGTCCAACTTTGAGCACCTTCCATGCCTGCAGGTGTAGACCTGAAATTTGAAGTCAGAGCTTGATGGGGAAATATAGAGCACATGTCTGAACTTATATCTGAGGCATTCTGCCCTGTAGTCTAAATGAAAACCCTGTGGTGCCATAAACAAAACGAAAATGTCCTAGTCATTTGTGATCAGCTAAGCACACAGAGACACAACCTGCACCAACCTAAAGACTCCAGAATTTCGCATCTAAATGATGGGTAGGAAGTTAATCTTACCTTCCTTCTGAGACTGTTTTGGTTATTGCAGATCATTCTCTGAATTCCTATCACTTATCTGGCACATAACCTCATTCCTATCATTTTGGCACATAACCTCGTGCCTTCCTTGCATTGTACTTAACTCTTTCGTGTGTGTCTGTCTCCAGCAGAAGTGTTATAAGCCTCTGGAAGGAAGCTTGTTTACTGTAATACAGTGAGTGAGTGAATGAGTAGGTTTTCCCTATTAGGCTGATGTACATTTTTTTTTTATCAGAATAGCCACATGGGAAGGATTTTTAGCCCAGATACACTAGTGAAAAGAGTAACCATTCTTTTTTCCAGATTTTGAAATATTTCTGCTTCCAGCCGACAGACCTAACAGCAGATCCATAAGTTTATTCATACATTTAGTAAATATTTGAAGGCTTACTTTGTGCCAGACACTGTGTTATTAGCAGAATTAGCATAGCAGGACTGAGTAATGTTCATATCCAAAGTAAGGAGCTCTGGCATCTTGAGACCACACGGTTTTGTTTGTTTTTTTTACAGTCACTTTATGGTAACTTTGCTTTCTCTTTCTTCTGCCCCATTAAAACAACAACAGATAGTGATTCATTCCATCCTCCTCACTGAGAAAGCCACGTGGTGCATCACATGGTCCCATCCAACTCCACGGATTGTCTAGCCAGTCCCTAGACAGAACACGGTGGTGGTGTTGTGAAAAGCGATAGCAAGGGCTACATCTGAGTAAAGAGGAGGGTTAGTTTCATTTGGTTTGTACTCTCCTCCAGGGACAGAACCCTTACTGGAACTTGAACTGGAAGCAACTCAGAACATTTGGATAAAGCAGATGAATCACTGTCACACTTGTAACTCAAGAGTGTGCCAGCCTTAAAACATGCCCCTGCAACTGTAAGGGCACTAGCCTCCAGACACACAAAATGGGGTCCCGTCTCTAACCTGAAAATTCTCCCCTTCACACTCATTGCAGTTACCATTTTACGTTCTAATTATCTCTTTCTCCCCCTGAACCCTACCATTTAGGGAAGATTTACTTTTCTTTGCCTCCCAGTACTTTGCACATTGTCTTACATACAGTGATTGGTAAATGTTTGCTGAATGAATTTAAAAGGGTTAATACCAACACTGCATATTGTTTGAGTACGCCAGGGTTGCCTACCCTCCCTGCACATTTGACGATAGATATATACAAGTACATTAAGGTGGGATGGTTTGAAAGAAAATGGAAGGGCGAGAGGAGACCTGGGAACATTTAGAACCTAACTTTTAAAATGTACTCACTCTTGTGCTTTTTCCTCCTTACCTCAATCCCCCAATGTAGGAAACATGGATCTAAATGCCTTGTGCACTGCAAAATGGGGGTGAGTCGCTCAGCCTCCACTGTGATTGCCTATGCAATGAAGGAATATGGCTGGAATCTGGACCGGGCCTATGACTACGTGAAGGAAAGGCGGACAGTGACCAAGCCCAACCCCAGCTTCATGAGACAACTGGAAGAGTACCAGGGGATCTTGCTGGCAAGGTGAGTCCCTTCAGTGACTTTCTCAGATTTTCTCTGCGTTATGCTCCCTGGGGCAAGATAAAATGTCCTTCCCTGTAGCTAGCTCTCAGCCTAATTTGGATGTGTGATACATTTTGAAAGTTGAAACCTCAGTCAGTCCAGTTTTTTCAAAAATAAGTGCAGGCATTTAAGAATAGTATGGAAGAGCAAGCATTTAAACTAAAGACATTTAAACTAAAAGGTGGAAATACTGTTTTCTTACTTTAATTCTCAAGTAGGTGCTGATTATCAGAAACATTTCCCAACATCTTCTAAAGCCAGACACCGCTGCCTTATCAAAATGGATACTTACTGCTCCCAAAATAATAAGCATAGATGAAGTTCTTAGAAATTTTTTCAGCCCATTCTTTAAAAGAAAAAAAAATTTTTTTAAGTACTGGGTGCTGTTTTAGTCATTATTTTTTATCAGTGCTTGGTTTCAGTGAGCCTTCTCCAAAATTTTTGTCATGTGAAAAATCAAATTTGGGCTATGAAGACACTTCCCGAAAATAACTCTCTTCTTCTTCTTTTAAAAATCTTTTAATCTGGTTATATATGTGTGTATACACACACACACACACACACACACATATGCATATATATATATATATATGTATATATATATATATATGCTTTACAGAAATGCAGAAAACACAGAGAGAAAAATCATTTATAAATTCAGTACCCACAGACAGTATTCGACATTATCTTTCATGTTTCTCCAGGTCTGACTCTTACCATATATATTGATGGTTATTTTCTCACAAAAGCTATTCTTCTGCCCACCTCTTCACCCAGTAACTGGTCTTCCATTTTTTTTTTTAACTATAGCAATGTATATTGAACAGTTACACTGCAGTTAGCCCTCACTTAACCATCCTTCCCCCCGCCCCCACCCAGCTTTACTGAGATAGAATTGTCATATAACATTGTGTAAATTGAAGGTATCCAGTGTGTTGATTTGATGCATTTATGTATCACAGACGATTATCACCGCAGCATTAACTAATGCTTCCATTCCTTCATATGCTGTTTCTTTTTTCATGGTGAAAATATTTAGGATCTCTCTTAGCAACATTCAAGTACATGATATAGTATTATGAACTATAATCTCCATCTTCCATTAGATCCCAGAACTTACTAATCTTATAACTAGAAGTTTATACCCTTTGACCAACGTCTCCCCATTTCCCCCATCCTCTACCCACTAGTAATCACCACTTTATTCTCTATGTCTCTGAGTATGGCTTTTTTAGTTACACATATAAGTGATACCATTCAGTATTTGTCTTTCTCTGTCTACCCAATGCTAGATCTTAAACATCTTTCTGTATCAATAAGAACTACTCATTTCAGCATAATATAATATAACCTTGGTAATTGGTTATAAAATGAGTAATTAATTGTTTATTATTTTACCTTGGTGGTGGTGAAAGCCACTTTCAACTGCTCTCAAGGAAAGAGATTCGCATATTAAACTGGGTTTAAGGGTCAGTTTCCTGAGATACCAGATGCTGAAGTTCTGTGGAGTCTAGATTTTGCTTTGATTTTTTTCATGTGTGCATGTTCTAGGTGGTTTTGTTCAGATGAAGGCACGGCTGCCTAGAAGCAGTTGGGGCTGGTGCCAGAGTTTGACTCCAGTGAGTCTTATGACTTGGTCTTGACTCTTGAATCTGGGCTGTGTTTCCCCCGAACAAAATGTTAAATAGCCTTCCAGCCTATCCAGGCAGAGGGACCACCCTCCCACCCCCGAAGTCTGGGGAAAATGTGGCCACAGCATAGCATTATGGTTTCCACTAAAAAAAAAACCCCTCCCGTTTACTCAGTACTTGGCATGATTTCATCTGAGCCATTCTTTTAGGAGGCAGGGAGGATACTCACTCAAGTCTCCTGCACTTAAAAAGAATTTAGAGGTCTTTGGGGCCAGATTTTGATGACATTTTTAGATTAGATCAGAAGGTAGGACACGGCGGTTCTTTTTGGCACTAGAAAGAGGCATCTGAGGGTCAGATGAGACATAAATATTGTATGTTCCCAGGCACACACATGACGGATGTTAGGCAGTATCCTCACGTGACCCATTGAGAGCAAGGATACTATGTGTCCTGCCAATTTCAGTATTTATTCTGGAATCTCAGGCTACTGCAAGCTGTTGGGTTGGGTTTTTTTAGAGTATGTGGTTTTTCTTAGATGTTAAAGGAACTTCAGAAAAATCGTAGATGAGGATAAGAAGGGCAGCATAACCCACAAATCACACTGCCTCTTCCTTTCCCTTTTGGTTCTATCCTGCCTTCCTGGGCTTGATTCATGGAGGGAGGAGCAAGCCCTGGGGAATGAGAAAAACCACAGAATTGGAGTCAATAAATCTGGTTTCCATCTCTGGTTCATCCTCTTGCTGCAACTTTGAGGAGTTACTTCACAGTTCTGATCCTTACCTGACCCCATTTGTAATTTGAAAATCAAGAGCCCTAGGTCACACTGAAACTAGTAATACAGTGTATGTTAACTAAATTGAATTTAAATTTTAAAAAAAATTTTAAAGAACTCTATGTCACAGGGTTATTTTAAATAAAAATGTGTATAAATAAATGTATACTACAAGGGCACCTGGCTGGCTCAGTCAGAGGAACCTGCATATACCTCTTGATCCTCAGGATTGTAAAAAAAAACAGTGAACACTGTATACTGGTAAGGGTTATTCTAATGTGGTTCTCATCATCTTCTTTCTCCAGGGCCACCCAGAAACACACACATGCATGTGCCACCTATTCCCTCCTCCTTCCTCCAACCACTGCCTTCCACCACCCACAGGCACACTAACTCCATTAGAAACTAGAATAGGAAGTGGTCCTGGAATTTCCTGTACTGTGATGTTTCCTGGATGTTAACAACTAGAATCTAGTGCTAGGGGTATTGCTTAGGATGCTTTCAAGTGCAAATAATAGAATACCTCCATTGATCGGGATCTCAGCAAGAAACAGCATACTCGGATTAGGATGATTTGAGGAGGGCTTTACAAAGATGTGGGATTGTAGTAGAATCAAGGAACTTGTATCAGCAAGAGCTGTTCGCTAATAGCTGCGAGGTCCAGAGGGAGCCAGCTCGTAGAGCCTGGAAGGAGATTCCTGGAGAAAGAGGCCCCTTCAGAGAGGAGAAATAACCTTCAGTCAAGTAACGCAGTCAGCCTGAAGTGACCCTGTGGGGAGAAAGCTAGGGGAGTAAGTGGCCTGCCTTTACATTTCCTCCCTCCAGACTGTCTCCTCCTGGGGCTCCCATGAAACAGTGAATACCCAAATCAAATCAGGTCTCTGCCAGTTAGGAGAAAGAGTGGGAGTGCCTGCTGTGTATACAATCATTAGGGTCTGCAGTCTCCGATGTTTTCGTTTTAAGAAACAGACTTGTAGGCTATTGCCAAACTAGCTGCCAAGTGGACTGGGCCCAGCAGATTCTTGCCCAGCCCTAGAGCACTACTCCAGGGTCTGCCTGCTCAGAAAAGCAAAAACAGAAAAGCCCCAGACTTCTGGAACTGTCGGAAGCTCTACAGCTTAGGTAACCAGAAGAAAGTCCTTAGAAAAATCCCACTCATTCTGTTTGCAAAGAAATCCATTTCCTGTGGAGGTACTTCAGTCTTGTATGCCAGGAACCATGGGGTGATTCTCTCAAAAAGATAGAGCCTGATCCTAGCACTCTTTAGCCGCCATGGTTGTCTAGTGGCACTGGGTACTTAACTTGAGGTGGCAGCCCTCTGAGGGTATTAGCTTGGGGCTTTGACGTCTTGGTAGAAGAGGAGTTTACCAAAGTGATACCAGGCCTCTGTAAGTGATTTACGAATTGGTTACAGTCTCTTAATCAGAATGCGAGGCCATGGGCCAAATAGTGACCACCTGTTGAAATGCAAGGGACTTTTTGTGTAGTTCAGTATGTCTTTAAGAGCCCAGGGAAGGCTAATATTTAATATAACCCCTTGGGCCTAAAAAGGAGGTTACTATAAACCCACTGATACTATTCATATCTAATTTTATTTTTTATGTTTTTATAGCTGGGGTGGGGGTGAGATAGGAAGAGGGTGTGTGTGTGTGTGTGTGTGTGTGTGTGTGTGTGTGTTGAAACCCTCCATTAAACTCCCAACAGCCATGTTCATTATTCTGTTCTCTGATCATGCAGGTATCTGGCAGATTTTTGTTCCATTAGACAAGTTCAGATTTCAGGCATTTGCAAGCTGGACCATGTGTCTGTGATACTAGGTTCCAATGTACAAGGGGCAGAGAAGAAACACTGGGTGGTAGCCAGGGAGAATTCGTGCCACATGTCTTCGTAGATGTCAGTTTTGATTCTTTGCACACCCCTGTCACTAGGGCCAGAGGTGTCTGTTACACTCCCCTGCTTTGCTGGTGGAGACATCCAAGTCTGGTTCACTGGTGCACAGTGGTCAGCCAGCAGGAGGGAACCTGATAATGAATCCGCATCGTAATTGAGAGCACTTAGGGACCATGGACAACACGTAGAAGATGCTCAATTGTTGCTTTTTTCTTTCTTCTCCTTTATTCCGGCTGTCTAATGTCCTCTAAGACATAGTAGCGTAAACAGTCTGATTTTACTATACAACTGATACTCCATTTTTAGCAATATTTTCCTCTATGTAACTTTCTCAGACCAAGATGTTGCCTTACCAAGCATGTAACAAGGAGAAAGAAAGCAAATTGGAGGCAAGAGAATGGGATATCATGTGTCATTTAGATTTCTTTCTTGTTCATTTTTGAAGTAAAAGGCCAATATCAGGTCTGAGTTCACTCAAGGGAGGAAAGAACCTGAGACTTCTTTGGATCACCCAGGCCACAAACCAACTCTGAAGTTCTTTTTGGCAACTTGTTTACTTGATGCCTACCTGAAATAGGGGGAGGGAGTCAGTTGGATTTAAACATTAACAGTTTAAAATAATAAATATGATCCAGTGTCCTACATCCATCCCTGACAGAGCATCAGGCTGAATGGACGCGGGGAAAAGCCGCACTGGAAGGCAGGTTGGTGTCACTGGGTGAAACTGATGGCGTACATGCACCCTGTGACCCGCCTTCTCCGCTCCTGTATATGACATCTTTTAGAGACCAGAATATCCACCAAGTGCAAGAATGCCCTTGGCAGTGCTGTTCATCGTAGCCAGACCTGTTCATCAGCAGGATGGGTAAATAAACTGTGGTATATTCATCACACTCTGAAATTACAGCTGCACATATTGATGAATCTTTAAAACAGTGTAGGCAAAAGGCAGTTGTAGACAAATGTATACATAGAGTATGATTTTATTTATATAAGTTCACAACATGCAAAACTAAACAGCATCTTAAGAACAAAACGATGATGACATTATGAAGAAAGAAGATGATAAGCACAAAATTTAGGACAGAGTTTACTAAAACCTCTGATTTAGGAGGAGGGAGAGGGAGAACAGGAAGGGGCACCTGGAGAAGCAGTGCGTCCAAGGCCACGGTAATGAGTGTCTTGATTCTATGGACGAGCTAGCTGCCTACCCCTCTTCCAGCTGCTCTTGCTGCAAAAACGAAAGAGGCAACAGAATCAGACCTATCTTTAGATTGGGATTTTTCTTTCTCCTTTACAAGTAGGTGTCAGTTTAATTCCGAGCCCTGACCTAATATTTTCTGATGATTATCTCCCCCAGGAAGAGAAGGAAATCCCTGCTGGGCAAAGGAGCTGTAATGGCAGCCACTTCCTCTGAAACATACACTGTTGTTACCTGTTAGCATAATTTCGTTCTCATTCCCTCCTAATGGATTAGTGACTTGTAGGCAGTTTTTAAAAAATCATATTTTGGAAGGTTCTTGGGATCATGAAAAGTCCCATTTGCCTCTTGATTGGTAAAAAAAAAAAGCTGTTCTTTTACATTTTTAGAAGGGTGAGAACAGCTACTGCCTGAGATGTCTTCCCAGTCCTTTGCATCACAGGAATTGTCCTGCCTTGGGGGCTGAAAGGAGTTGGTGCAGGTCTGAACATCCTCATGATAGGCGAGGGTTAGAAATTGGAGAACACAGCCACGTGTAGGTCAGGAACCAAGAGTATCTAGTTATAAAAGAAACTTTAAAGGGAAGCATGTGGCCTGGGTTGATCACTGGGTATGGTTCAGGCCCCACCTATGCAACTATTCAGTTTGCCCCTCCCCACACTCACTCACTCGTTTGGGATGTGTGATATGTTGTCTCCTCCTAGGGGTGACTGGAGTTCATGCAGCTTGGAACGGGTGAAAATCCTACCTTCCTCCCAGCTATTGATTATAGCTTGTCTTCATAAACAGAATGACCTGTTCCCTACCCGGAAAAGCGCCCTTCTGCCGTGCGGGCCTGAATCAGAGAGAGCCCCACCCCAACAGCAGACAGACAGGGGGAGCTGAGAGCAGGTGCAGAGTTGAGAACAAACAGGGGTTCACATTAGTGCAGGCGCATGACTCGGCAGAGACTCACAGGCAGGCGTGGCCCTGAGCCTGCGGGAAACTGTTTTGGGCTATTTCCCATTACACTCTGCAGTTAGGTGATTCTTCATCAACTTGTGAGTCGTGGAAACCACACCCCTAAGTGCCACATCTAGGGACCTGTTTCCTGGGTACCTGATCTGACCAGCCACAGGGCCACATTTTTCTTTTTGGCTAGGGCTTTGGGAAATGTGCTCCCTTGTTACATGGTTTGAAATGAATTCTCATCCCATCAGAACTTTTCTCCATGGGCGCCTGGGTGGCTCAGTTGGTTAAGCATCTGCCTTCGGCTCAGGTCATGATCTCAGGGTCCTAGGATCAAGGCTTGCATTGGGCTCCCTGCTCAGTGGGGAGCCTGCTTCTTCCTCTCTCCCCTGCTCGTGCTCTATTTCTCACTATCTCTCTCTCTCAAATAAATGAATAAAATCTTAAAAAAAAAAAGGGGGGGGCGCCTGGGTGGCTCAGTGGGTTGGGCCTCTGCCTTCAGCTCAGGTCATGATCTCAGGGTCCTGGGATCGAGCCCCGCATCGGGCTCTCTGCTCAGCGGGGAGCCTGCTTCCTCCTCTCTCTCTGCCTCCCTCTCTGCCTACTTGTGATCTCTCTCTCTATCCAATAAATAAATAAAATCTTTAAAAAAAAAAAAAGAATCTCTACAATTCACATTCCTACCAGCTGTATATGAGAAGACTTGTTTGACCATGCCATCATCAACACTAGCTGCTAGCAACCATTTTAAGCTCTTATCAGCCTGGTAGGTAGAAAAATCAGATCCCATATTTGTTTTTATTGTTGTTTGCTTTGTTTTTGCTTTTTGCTCTTAGTTAAATTGAGCATCTTTACAATTGTTTATTGCCTACTTCTTGCATTGGGTATTACCAAGCATTTTGCAGGTTAAGATTTAAATTTATCTGGGAGCGGTTTCCTGGGAGGGTGTTGACTGATTTCAACCCCAGAGTAAGGCATTTCATATGTATGTCCTCCACAGCAAACAGCGGCATAACAAGCTCTGGAGATCTCATTCAGATAGCGACCTCTCAGACCACCATGAACCCATCTGCAAACCAGGGCTAGAACTCAACAAGAAGGAGATCACCACCTCAGCAGACCAGATTGCTGAGGTGAAGACCATGGAGAATCACCCACCCATACCTCCCGTCTTTGTGGAACACGTCGTCCCACAAGATGAAAATCAGAAGGGCCTATGTACCAAAGAAAGAATGATCTGCTTGGAGTTTACTTCTAGGGAATTTCATGCTGGACAGATTGAAGATGAATTAAACCTAAATGACATCAATGGATGCTCATCAGGGTGTTGTCTCAATGAATCAAAATTCCCTCTTGACAACTGCCATGCATCCAAAGCCTTAATCCAACCTGGACAGGCCCCAGAAATTGCCAACAAGTTCCCAGACTTAACAGTAGAAGATCTGGAGACAGATGCCCTGAAAGCAGATGTGAACGTGCACTTACTGCCTCTGGAAGAATTAACATCTCGCCTGAAGGACCTTCCCATGTCCCCTGATCCTGAATCACCAAGCCCCCAACCCAGTTGCCAGGCTGAAGTCTCAGATTTCAGTACGGATCGCATTGATTTTTTTAGCGCCCTGGAAAAGTTTGTAGAGCTTTCCCAAGAAACCCGATCCCGATCTTTTTCCCACTCAAGGATGGAAGAACTGGGTGGAGGAAGGAGTGAGAGCTGTCGACTGTCAGTGATGGAAGTAGCCCCTTCCGAAGGGACAGCTGATGACCAGAGAAGCAGCTCTTTGAGTAATACTCCCCATGCATCTGAAGAATCTTCAATAGATGAGGAACAGTCAAAGGTAAAAACTCTTTATAGTGGTTCTCTAGCTAATGAAGTTCTTTTGGAAGACGAAGTATTTGGGATTCTGCTGTGTTCATTTTATTTTCGAATTCCTAAAGATTTAGGAAGGCAGTATGGGAGAGACTGTGGCTGAGACTTTCCTTGAAAACTTAAGGTTTAAAAATTTTTAAATCCATTGCATTTTGGAGAAGTTATCTTTCCAAGCTTTTGGTGTCTTTGGAAGCACTTCTGAGAGGGGATTTGGGGGTGGGGGGCAGATTAGCCAAAACAAATGTCCTGCCTGTACAAGGAGAGGTCCCCTCACTGGACCTCTGTGATTCAAATCCATTCTTACCAATAATGAAGTGCCTGGGAGTGACACACTGTCTGTGTAAGACCTCTGTCTCTCTGAGGAGATGGGATTTGTTTGGGAAACTCTGTCTTAGAAAATTCAAAGACTAGACATGTGTAAATGGTTGTCAGGGTAGCAACCCATGCTGAGTTCTTGCTATTAATAATGTTTCTGGATTGGTCCTCATCTCAGATCCGTGGTATCCAAGACTTCAGGGATAGTTTTGGGAAGTGATTGAGGACAGACAGACTGAAGATTCTTCTCTGTGGCATATCAGCACTTAGGAGCCATTTCAGACCAGGGAAAGAACTGTGTATCATCAGTTCTAAGACTCACTCTTATTCTCATTTTGATATTTCTGAAATCGGGATGCATCTTAAAAACAATGGTATCTTAGATCAGTATAATATAGTAGTTAGGAAGTAAATGGTGACAGATTTACTTAATGATTTCAGTGTAGGTGACTCCATTTTTGCATTTCCTGTTACTTGTCTGGTTATATTTACCACCTTGTCCATGACTTACCTTTTCTCTCTAACTACCCTAGGGCAGTCATTGCCTCTGCTTCCGTCTTCTCTCCCCAAAGGTTATGTCTTTGCTTCATTTTGACTGGGAAATCAGAATGCTTGGACCAGTGGGTATAGCAGCTCTGACAGAAATAGCTTTTCTGCAAACTCCCTCGTCATATGAGCACTCTGTCCACAACCTATGCACACACTGGGTCCGCTGGGCTTCTCTCCCAGTCTTGGCTAGTTTACTTCTGCCTAATGTCCCAGCAGATTTCTCTTAAAGGTGTAACTGACCTTGTCGGTTTGTATTAGCTCTGACTTTCTTTTGAAGGAGAAAGATCAGAACAATTCCTAGGGAAATATTACACTTTGAAGGCTTATAAAAATGTTAAAGTAGGGGCATCTGCGGGGCTCAGTCAGTTAAGTGTCTGCCTTAGGCTCAGGTTATGATCTCAGGGTCCTGGGGGTCCCCGTTCAGCAGGGAGTCTGCTTCTCTCTCTCTCCCTCTGCCCCTCCCCTCTGCTCGTACTGTCTCTCAAAATAAATAAATAAAATCTAAATAAGTAAATAAATGAATAAAATATTAAAGTAGATTGATGGTTGTCAAATGCCACTTTAAGAGATATCCAAAAGCCATTTTCAGATTATGAAATTCTTATCTTTTTTTTTTAACAATAGGACTTTGTTTTATATTGGCTAATTTTCTTTTGCCTCATCCTGAATGCATCTAGGAATTTGTAACTGGTAGAACAGTAATACATCAGAGAGTCACAGTTTCTAAGTTTGCTTAGGCATGTGGCTCCATAAGCCAAGTAAACCTTTCCCAGAAGGAGCCATGTGAAATCTGGAAATCGTGTGATCAGGTACAGAGTGCCCTCACATGCTGGAATGCTACTGCCCAGAGAATGCCAAGAGTGGGAGGGTAAGGATGAAAGCTGGCAGGACAGAGGAGAGAAGAGAGCAGTGAGTCTCCAAATCCGACATCAGATGATAACCTCATTCATCTTGCCCTAACACTGGGCATATTTAAGGTGGTCACTAAGTCCTTGAATGGAACTCTTCCCCTTGAACTTCCCCTTGAACTAGGTTAGAATCAAACTGGGAGTTGATAGGCCAGAGAAGAAAAATCTCATCTACCCCAGTATAGCCCAAGTATACCCCAGTATAGCCCAAATTCTGAAGGCTAATGGTCTTAGGAAAGTAAGGATTGGGGCAGGGCACCTGGGTGCTCATTCTGTTGGGTGTCTGTCTTCTGCTCAGGTCCTGATCCCAGGGTCCTGAGATCAAGCCCTGCATCCCGCTCCTTGCTCAGTGGGAAGTCTGCTTCTCCCTCTGCCCCTCCCCTTCCCCATTTTCCTATGTGCACTCTCTCTCTCTCTCTCTCTCTCAAATAAAATCTTAAATTTAAAAAATAAAAGGGGGGGGGTGCGCCTGGGTGGCTCAGTGAGTTAAAGTCTCTGCCTTCGGCTCAGGTCATGGTCCCAGGGTCCTGGGATCGAGCCCCGCATTGGGCTCTCTGCTCAATGGGGAGCCTGCTTCCTCCCCTCTCTCTCTGCCTGCCTCTCTGCCTACTTTTGATCTCTCTCTCTATCAAATAAATAAATAAAATCTTTTTAAAAAAAAAAAAGAGAGAATTATAGGAACCTCCAAGACTATCCACTATGCATTTTTGGAGCAAGGGTTGGAATTCTGTTTTGAGTAAACAGAACAAAAGTTTAGTAGACAGTGATACAAGCTGTAACAAATTTTGTATGTCTTCCTTTGATGAATCTGTTTGTTTTTTTTTTTCCTTTTGTGACAACACAGATGGACAAAGGACAGTCCCAGGTACTCGACAGTTTGTGTCCTCATAGCCAGAAGGTTCTCCCAGATTAGATGATTAGTAAACAAAACATCTGGCATTTTTTATTAGACCATGGTTTGCCATAACCATCTCACTGTTTTCTCCCTAGGCAATCTCAGAACTGGTAAGCCCAGACATCTTCATGCAATCTCACTCAGAAAATGCAATTTCAGTCAAAGAAATCGTTACTGAGATTGAATCCATCAGTCAAGGAGTCGGACAGATTCAACTGAAAGGAGACATCCTGTCTAACCCATGCCATACGCCAAAGAAGCATACCATCCATGAGCTGCCCCTTGAGAGAGCCCAGGCCCTGGAGAACAAACCTGGAAATCTGGAGCATAGTGAGGGTTCCTACACAGCCCAGCCTGAACTAGCCAAAGACTCAGGGAAGTGGGACCTAGAAGGCTGCCTAACCACACACTCATCCACTGCAGAGCTGGAAGACGAGGAACCAGCTGAGGAGGAACAAGAACTTTGGGGCCCTGGAATGCACCCAGGTGCCAAGTGGTACCCTGGGTCCGTGAGGCGAGCCACCTTGGAGTTTGAAGAGCGCTTGCGACAGGAGCAAGAGCACCATGGTACCGCGCCTGGTTGTGCCTCATTGTCCATTCGCAAGAATTCCAAGAATGATTTCTCTGTGGCAGACCTAGCACCAAAAGGGAAGAGTGATGAAGCTAGCCTTGAACTTTGTTTTGTCCCCAAGGAACCAGAGATTAACAAGGGCAAAGGGAAGTGCAGTGGGTCCGAAGCTGGCTCACTACCCCAGTCTGAGCAAGTAGCCATTGGTCCAGCACCTGAGCTGCTGCAGTTTCAAGAGCGCCCAGGGTCAGACACTAGAACAAAGCAGGAAGGAGTCCTGAAGGAGCAGAGGACTGTGGTTTCGTGCCAGGGATCTGAGACACAGGCAGCCCCTCTCTCCCTTCCCAAGAAGGTGGAAATCATTGAGTATCCCCACGCAGTTCCATCCCCCAATCATCCTGGGCCAGGGGGTGAAAGAGCCACCAGCATAAAGAGTGGGGAACAGGGACTGAGGAAAGCAAAAGTAGAGGACTCCGTCCCCATCCTCTGTGCACTGGATGAAAATCTGAACAGGACTCTGGGCCCCACCCAGGCTCCTCTGCACCCCAACGTGCTACCTCTGCCTCATTCTTCCCCTCCTGACCACGACAGTCCCACTGACCTGACCTCCACCCTGAGCAGCCCTGAAGCCTGGGACGACAGCCTGTCGACAGCCCCGGAAACAGGAGCACCTTTTGTCAGTCGCACAACCCATGTACCATCTGCCAACTTGGATCACGCACATCCCCAGACTATAGTTCATCTGGAAGGCTTCACAGAGCAAAGCAGTACCACAGACAACGAGCCCTCTTCAGAGCAGGGTAGCTGGGAAGAAAGTCAGGAGGGCCCGTTTTCCAGTGGCAATGAAGTGCCATACGAGGACTCCCAGTTAACTAGAGAAGACCTAAGCCAACTCGGTGACAATATTGAGGAGTTACAAGAAAAACCGGACCCACTTCCTGTAGCCTGTCAACTCCCACACAGCTCTAGTGGTGACAGCATAAAGGGTCTCAGCCATAGCCCCGGTGTGGTGAAGGAGCGCACTAAAGAAATCGAGTCCCGAGCGATTTGCCAGGGAGGGCTCACCAAACCATCCCAAATGAGGCATTCAGCTTCCCTCGCCAAATTAGGTTACTTGGACCTCTGTAAAGACTGTTTATCGGAGAGAGAGACTCTCTCCTCTGATCCCCCTCATCTCAAGCTGCTTCAGCCCTTCAACAGAACGGACACAGGCATGCACGCCATGGAGGCCCAGGAGCCCTCAGAAAACCCAGATGCCCCCCAGAACCTAGAACCCACCAAGTATTTTATAGAACAGCTCAAAACAACAGAGTGTATCGCGCAGAGCAAGCCAGTGGAGAAGCCCATCGTACAGTATGCCAAAGAATTTGGTTACAGTCAGCAGTGTTTGCTCCCCAGGGCAGGACCCGAATTGACTAGTTCTGAAGGAGGCCTTCCTTTGCCACAACCCCAGGGACTGCAGCGTGCAGGCCCAGCTCCGGGGCTGGCTGTGGCGCCCCGTCAGCAGCACGGCCGAACTCACCCCCTTAGGAGACTTAAAAAAGCAAATGATAAAAAACGGACAACCAACCCCTTCTATAATACCATGTGATTCTGAGCCTACACGTGTGACTTTCTGAAAGAAATGTTTGTAAAAGGGGCAGGTGTAATATGTAAGGAACATGCACTTTATGGGTTAATTTTATAATATTTTGGTCATTTTACTGTTCCTGGCGCATGCAGGGTTTGGGTTGGTTTTTCTCCCCCCTCTGTGTATGTGTGCGTGAAAGAGGAAAAGAGAGATTGATTCAGACAGCAAGACCATTTTAGCATTTTTTTATTTTTAGAAAATTCAAACCTCAAAAAATACTCATTTTCAAAGAGCACCTTTATCAAAGGCAAATTGCTGTTTTTCAGTCAGCTCCCACCTGCTCCTCATTTGCCCTCCGAGAAAAAGCATGCTTGCTTATTTGCTTGAGGAAGGAAGTAGCTGGAGAAGGTGGGGATGAAGCTGGAAATCGGAAATGCTCCCCTGGGCCTGTGTGATGATGGTTTGGGCTTCAGACCTGATGCATGGGATTGAGCTGAAGGGCCGCTGCAAGGCCACGGGCTCTCAGCCTTGGGCCCACTGAGAGTTCCCAAGGCGGGCAGGTTGTGCTTTGCCCTCAAAGGGGGGGGTCTTCCAGAAGCCACTTCTTCTGGATTCCTGAGTCCATCATTACCGAAAGGCAGGATAATGGCTGGCTTTGTAAACCTACCAAGCAAATAGGTCCCCCCCCACCCAGCACATGATTTTTAAATTAAAAGTGAACCCCAAATGAAATCTGAGAGATCTGTGTCGAGGAAAGCATATGAGGAGGAGGAGGCGACGTCTGCAGAGGCTGCTGCCCGGTGTCTTCTGGGTCAGTATCTTCCTGCACATGGGCGGTCACCCTGGCCCTCCCTGTCAGGAAATGTACTCTGCAGCATCCTTTCAACTAAAACAGAACGGGGACAAGTTTGAAAAACAGCAATTGAAAGTCAGTGTGTTCTTGTAAAATGAATACGTACGTAGGGTTTTAACACTTCCATTACTTGAATAATTCTGTGGGCCTTCTGCGTTTAATGGCCATATATTTTTCCAATTTACTTTTCTCCCTCATGCTGTTTCTCCCAGTGCTGCCCTTTTTTAAAAATTTCATAGATGATATTTGAATTGTTACATTACCTATGTATAACCTCCATTGAACGCGAAGTTTTCTTACTGATGTTATCACTGTTAACACTTGACATGGGTTGTTTTTTTTTTTTTTTCCTGGAAGATTTGTCATTTCTCTAGTTTATACACAGTATTTATGTACATAATGTCACTTTCTTACAGTGTTTTGTTGTTGATGTCGTAGGATCTTTTTGATTTAATCTTTTTAAGAAGGATAAAGCTGCAACTGGAGAATACAGACACCACAGAAATAAAACTGATGGGTGTTGGTAGGAATCTGCAGAGTATATCGATGGTGGTTTTAATTGTTAAGATGGAGACTTCTGATCGCCAGCTCCTGCCAAATTATGTGTTAGTAACTTCCTCCTCAGAGAAACCCCTAAAGGCTCCCATTAGATCACAGTTTGACCGAAAGCTGATTTCTCTTTGAGACTGAAATCCCAGAGCGGGTTGTTTGCCAGGAGCTGAACCACAGCCAGGGAGTGTATGTGAGTGATACCGCTGCCCAGGGCGGAAGCTTCCGATGGATTGGGCTGAAGGTTCATGGGCAGGCAGGCCCCCCACCAAGGGCAGGCACCCACTATTGACTCCATTTAGGATGCTTTTGCTTCGTTGCTATTGTGGAGCTCCTTAACACAGGAGCACTTGCCATAAACAAGCCTATTTGGGCTTCTTACAGAAAGCATTTAGCCTGGAATGAAATACCTTCTGCAGCTCATCAAAACTGAAGAGGTTTGCAAATTTGCTTCCTGTTTGCTTTGGTTGATGTCCACGTGGCTGAGAGGTTGACCAAGTACAGACTTGGGCTTTGGTTTTGGCTCATCACGGCACTGAGAGGAAAGACAGATACCCAGACTGTCAAGGCGATTGTCAGAGGCCAGAGTTTGGTGGGGGGCAGATAGTGGGGTGACCTCTCGGGAAGAGAAAAGGTGGCCCGAGGCCATTCATAGGTGCTCCAGGGGAGCCGTGAATCTGGGTGCTGTGTGGAAGTTAGTCAGGTCTCACTTCGCTGCCAGGTAGTGGATTGGACAGAAACCTCCTGCTCTAAGTGTCTTTATGATGTAGTAATTATACATACCTGTGCTGTCTTTAAATAGTTTCCTTGAATGTTCGAATGTATCCTCCACACACACGGCTTTGTGGTTCCTGGATGTTTAATGTGTTGTCAAGTGTTTTTGTTAGTTGGTGTGTACCAGTGCGAGGAGGCTTGCAAGACAGAGTTATGAATTTCCAGGGCTCATCCTGCTAAACAGCCCTGCCTTGTTGAGCCAGTTCCACCACCGCCAATACAAGAGGGAAAGGACAGGAAATTGTGGCAGGGGCAGGGAGAGAACGATTTGCACTGAGGTGAAGAGAGCGGTGTCCCCTCATTAACCCTTTGAAATGGTGACATCCCTCACATAGAGAATTATAAGCAGGATGGACAGTATTAAACTGTTCTCTCTCCTCCCCTGCAGCGGTGGTTCGTGCTCACCATCCCTGCATTAAGTAACAGCAGCTGTGGGGAGATCTTCTAATGCTGTGAAGAAAACTTTTTTTAAAGAAAAAGGAAATAGTCTTGCTCTCGCTTCCTTCTTTTAAGTAACATTCTTGGTTCTCGTTTAATTTACCTGCCTCAAGAAACATCCTCCATTCAGGGTCTGTAATTCACCCATGCTGTGGGGTTCCTGCCAGCCTCTCAAACCCCCCCACAACTGAGGGTTCTTGTGTTATTTGCATAGCCGAGCAATGTCCAGGGGAAGCACATGATGAGCCATCAAGGACTTCTCAGACTTTCTTGTCCTCAGACTTTTTGATAATCTCAGGTGGCCTATTTCCCTTTTCTGTTCATGGAAAGCTCAGACCCAGAACTGCAGGTCCGGTGGTTTGACAGAGATGAGTAGGAAAAGTCTTGACCTCTTGCTCAGTGCCTCTCTTTATCTTTATTTTGAAAACCACCATAGTCTGACTCTCAGTTACCCTGGAGGAGAGAGAGAGAGAGAGAGTGTGTGTGTGTGTATACACAGATACACGCACACCTGTGCAAAAATACTTTAAAAAGTAATGTTTTGGTGCATGGGGTAGAAGCCCCAGGAGCATGCAACTTTTGAGCTGTAATCTGGAGGGTTACCTGGTGAGTAGGAAGGAGAGAGACTTCAACCCTTTCTTGATTTTAGAAACACTTAGGAGTAGTATATACTATAGTAGACCTATAGTACTGTATTATAGTAATAATCATCTCTCCTCATTTTGGTTGCCCTTCAGAGTCTTAATGTTTGGGATCATTCTTAGCACCCTAGCTTCTTCAAGCTCTTGAGGTAGCATTTTCCTGGTTCTGTACCTGTATCCCAACCCTATCTCATCTGGGGAACTACAAAGAGCTCCAAGGACAGCCTTGAGAATGAAAGCCCAGGCTCTGAGGTCCCCTCTTGCTCAAGGGCCCCAGACAGAGACTTTTGGATAGACCTGAAGTTTCTCAGACATAGCCACTCACAAAAATCTTCATCTGCTCCATCTGAGGATTTCAGTTTTAAAGTGATCTAGGCATGTTTGGTAGAGAAGTTTCTGTGGGAGTTTTCTTTTTTTCTTTTACGAAAGCATTATGCAAAGAGGGCCACTTTTTAAGGGCATTTTAAAATTTTTAAATAAAGCCATTCTTTGGCTCTTTTTGACAACTATTTGTGGATACTTTGTTTACATTGTGATAATTAAAACACGCATCCTCTTGACAGCCGCTCCTCCCTTCCTCCAGGCACGCGGCCCTGGCTGTCCTGTGAGTCCTCTCACAGAGCGAGGCCTGAGGCCTCCGTGGTCAGCCCTGACTCACAGGGGACTGGGGGGGATGGACCCGGAGCTGACTTCCATCTGTGTCCTGCACTCCCTTTCAACACTCTGTGTGGAATTAGCCCTTTCCTCAGTCAGTGATGGTGTGTCTTACAGTGATGGTTGTAACGGTGAATGGCTAGTGTCCTTTTTGTCTCAGTTTGTTTTGCTTTTTGATGGTAGATGAAATTTTAGCTCTTTCAGCACCAGTCCAACTTGAAGGTATCTTGGACTTTGTTTTCTCTCCCAGACTTAAAAGATCAAGGCATGTATTAGGCATAAATATATTTGCTGCCTCAACTCATCTGACACCCAGATTAGGAAACAGCCTGTCACCAAAGCAGGAAGCTGCACACTCCTAACCCCTGTCCCAGGCCTCTGGGGTCCCTCGATGCCATGGAGAGCTAATGCAAGGTGCTTGTGTACTTTCCCAGCCTGGAAGTGAAGGGTGACTGGCCCTGGCTCCTGCTATGAAAGAAAACCAGCATCATTTTCTCAGTGCCCCAGAGACCTAAGACAGGATTTCTAAACTGGAATCATCCCTCACTGGCTTGAAGATGCCTCAGGGGGTATATGACTAGTGCTGCCCTCTGGGTCCTCACAGACACTGGTGGCTTTGTCCTCTGTACACATGCAGAGCTAATACCCAGGGCTTCATTCAAGCAGATGACCCAATCTGGAAACTGGGTAACTGGCCCTGAAATGATTCTCCGCAAACAGGCCCACAGGGAATTGTTTGGTTTTTGTGGTTTTTTCGGATTTTGGTTTGCCTGGCATAGCTTAAGGTGCCTTTTATTTTTTTTTCTTTCTACTTTATTTTGTAGGACTTGTTCTAAATGTAGAAAACAAGTCCAAAAGACTCTCCCACTGACTGTTACCTTTGCCCCAGGCCAGTCCAAACTTTTATGCTCACATTTTATTAAATAAAGCAGGTGCTCCCTGGAATCTCTGGGACCTTTTTGAGGCATTTGAAGCAGAATATAAAGAGTGGTCTCATCTCCTTCCTTAATCTTCCTGGTGGTTGGGATGTTCCACTTGTATCATAGATTTTTTTTATTACTGATGTGCTCTGCTGTTTTTAAATGTGAACTTGTGCGCAAATGTGCAGATTCAATGTTCTTGTTACAGATTAAATAAATTTTTATTTTGAAGATGAAATGTGTATTTGATCAAGTGCAAAAAAGGGGGGGAAGATGGTGCTAGAGCAGGTGGAGGGATTGGAAGAGAACACTGATGAGCAGTGGGAGGCACATGGAGCAATTCTCCTTGATCTCCCTCATGCTTAAGCGCTAGCTCGTGGCGGGGGGTGAGGGGCAGCGCCTGGGTGGCTTAGTGGGTTAAAGCCTCTGACTTCGGCTCAGGTCATGATCTCAGGGTCTGGGATTGAGCATCGAGCCCCACATCGGGCTCTCTGCTCAGCGGGGAGCCTGCTTCCTCCTTTCTCTCTGCCTGTCTCTCTGTCTACTTGTGACTCTCTCTCTCTCTGTCAAATAAATAAATAAAATATTTAAAAAAAAAAAAAAAAGAGCTCTGGGGGGAAAAAATACAACTTTCTTCCTCCCACAAAATAAAGGCTGAGTGGGAAATGGAATAACCAAAGATTATTTCAGACTTTGTGGCTCCAATAAAGTGACCAAGCTGGGAACTTGCCTGGTCAAAGAAGCTCTTGCCAAAGCCACTACCTGAATGTTAGGAGAATGAATAAGCAAAGGGACCAAAATTCTTCTGCCATGTGTGGTACAGAGTGACTGCTCTGGGACAACTGCTGTGACCTGCCCCAGCAGGGACTAGATTTCTTGGGTGGCTGACCTCTCTGGACATTAGTGAGGTAGAGCTCACAAACTTTCAGCACAAGCCCTCTGAGCTCACTGATTTCTAGAAATGGGGCATGACTTTCTAAAGAAGTAAAAGCTTTTAACCCTCTCTTGCTGTTAGAAGAGAAGCATTGGATAATGGTGGAAGAAGGGAGATGGGTTGCGGGGAGGACGCCTGGATGCCTCTGTTGGTTAAGCATCTGACTTCAGCTCAAGTCATGATCTCAGTTCAGGCTCCTGGGATGGTGCCCTGCACCCGGCTGCCCTCTCAGTGGGGAGTCTGCTACTCTTTCCTCCTCTTTGTCCCTCTCCCCGCCCCCCACCTCATGCTCGCATTCTCCCTCTCAAAGTCTTTTTTAAAGTAAATGAATAAAACAAAATTTGATTGCCAAAAGCCTGTGGCAGCTGCTTCTCCTTGAACCTGGTGTTCCCACGCGTTCAAGGTAGATTCACTTCCCCACCGAGTCTTTAGTCTGCTTTGCGCCCTCCTCCATGGAATCCTCTCTATCGGGTGAAATGCCTAGCTACAGTGCCAACGTTTTAGGTTCTCAAGTGGTCGCCATAGCCATTAATAACAAGAACAGGGACATTCACAACCCCCTGTCGGGTACCCTCGAGCCGTCCAGGGCGGGCCTAGGCCCTCACCCAAGGGCTGGGAAGACTCCCTAGAAGCATCTTCTGGGACCTCTCCCCAGGAGGGTCTGGACGTGCGTGCAGTCCCGCCGCCCCGGCCCTCCAGCGGGGACAGGCTAAATTGGGAGTGCGATTGCAGCAGGAATGCGGCGCGAAGGCACCTGATCTTGCGTGGCTGCCGGCTCTCCCTCTCCGCGCCCAGCCTGGGTCTGGAAACCTGGGTCTGCGAACCTGGGTCTGCGAACCTGGATCTGAGAACGTGGGTCTGCCCAGCCCACCCCGGAGGCACGGAGGGTGGGGAAAGCGTGCGCACAACCCGCCAGGACACCCTCAATTACTTTTGACAGTTCTTTGAGCCCTGCGGGCTGGCGGCGCAGAGTCAGCGGCGCTCGACTTTCCCGCCGCTGGAGGGGCGGGGCACCTGTGGCCCCGCCTCCGTCATAGGCCCCGCCCCCGCAGTTTGATGGCAGCGGCAGCTGGGACTGCAGCGACGTCGGGCCCCGGAGAGCCGCAAGCAGCGGCCCGAGCGCGCAGAGGAACACCCGGGCCCCAGACGCCGCGGACACCCGGAGAGGCAGTTCCGGCGCCCTGACTCCCTCGGCCCCCAGCGCACCCCTAAACCCCTCCGCAGAGGAGTCGCAGCGTGAGCGCCCCTCGGCCCACTCAGGACCAGGTATCCCCCCCCATCCCACGCCGCCACCGCAGCCACCGCAGCGGGCGGGGTCTCTAGAGGGCGCCCCCTCCCCCGCGCCGCCAAATTCGGTCCCGGGCGGGGCGGACTTGGTGTCTATATTTGGCCGGACAGCGGCCCGCGAGCCTGCACGGCACCAACACCTCGTCTCCTAAGAACGCAGTGCCGGGGCAGAAGGACGAAGGAGGGTGCCGGGAGGCCCAGGCCTCAGGCCTGGGGCTGCAGAAGCGGCGTGAAGGGCACAGGGATGCCCGGGGCTGGGGAGGGGCAGGAGTCACTGGATAGGGCTTTGGAAAAGCCCGGTGAGTCCCCTGGGGAAGAGCATAGCACAGACCCTGGCTGAAGAAAAGGCACTCACCCTCCCCACTCCAGCAAATCTGGCCGTAGCGCGGGGATTGAGGACCCCACCCCAGGAGAGTTCAGCAGGAAAGAGCACCCATAGGCGAAATGGAACAGAAGTATGGTAGGCAAAAGCCAGACCATGGTTAGTACTTCTTGGAGAGGCCAGTGAAAGGGGAGTGGAGAGATCCACCTTACACTGTGTCCCCCAATAGGATGGGATGAAATTGATGAAAACAGTAGCAGGAAAGATTCAGGTTAGCTGGCAGGAGGAACTTCCCCTTGGCAAAATTTTAGAAAAAGACAAAAGCCCGTCTGCCCAAACTACGTTACAGATGCAGAGTTCAGGATCTTGAGGGGCTGCAGTCTTAGCCCCATAGCTGGCGTTGAGCCAAGATCCCAAAACCACGGCCTCTGATTCTGGGCAAGGTGCAGTTAGGAGAGAAACCACTTCCTGAAGAGATGCTCATCCAAGGCTAGCCATCAGGAGGGCAGCCTGCACTGAGGCTCCTCCCCAAACCACTTCAACTTCCAGGAAGCTTTCAGACCCAGGCAAACTCCACTGTCCCCTGCCTGGGTCTCAAAGAAGTCAGGTACCAAATCCCAGCCCCTTGAATTAAGCAACATTTTATAGGTGGCAAAGACCTTTCACATACTTTCATCACCTGGAAGAAAGCTCCCTGTTCTAGGACCTGATTCATAGCCAGATAACCTTTCTCACTCGCCACCCCCTCCCTGCTCTTTTCCCTCCCCCAGTTCACAGGACTAAGGACCAAAGGCATTCCCGGAACTGAGATCCTCCATTTCTACCCACAGCCATGAGCCGGCGTGTGGTTCGGCAGAGCAAGTTCCGCCATGTGTTTGGGCAGGCGGCAAAGGCTGACCAATCCTACGAGGATATCCGTGTGTCCAAGGTCACATGGGACAGCTCCTTCTGTGCCGTCAACCCCAAATTCCTGGCCATTATTGTGGAGGCGGGAGGTGGAGGTGCCTTCATTGTCCTGCCTCTGGCCAAGGTGAGGGATTCAAGGAAGAAAGCAGGTGGGAAGACACTAGCTGTGGCCCCAGGGGATCCCTCCTTCAGTTGGGAGGGAAGTTTGTGTCCATCAGCTGCTCCCTGTTCCCCAAGTCCTTGGGGACCAACTCGGAGGCTCCCTCACCCTGCCCAGAACAGCAGCAGCACAGTGGCCTGCACACACGCACAGCCGGTCCCCTTTTCTGAGCAGCACCCTTGTCACCAGCAGGGACCAGAAGGGTGTTATGGAGATAGCTGGGAAGTGGTGGAGCCAGGGCCTGACCCAGATTCTGTTCCTGTCTCTCCCGATGCCAAACCCCACTCATGATCTTTCTCCCCAGTGCATGGTGACCATTTGATTAAATCACACCCCAGAGCACCAGGCTGAGGACAGGGTCAAACTCTTTCCAAAGAGTCCTGGTCACCTCCCCACTGTGGTTCTTATAGCAAGACAGAATGAGAACAAAGGGCAGGGGTACATCACACCTAAGGCCAGAGCCCTCCCAACCCCAGGGATGGGGGCTGGGCAATTACCTCCCCCTTTGCTGAATAACCTCAAGCCCCTTGGAAATCTCCACCCCCAGGATGGCCACTCCAAGTCATGACCTTGATCTGGCCCCTACACCCTGTGAAGGGAGACCCCGCAGGTGGCAGGGTCAGGAAGAGGCCTGACAATAGCCAGTGACTCATTCCAGGACAATGCAGACATCACCCAAGGACACCATCCCCAGGGGCTCAAATTTCAACTGCAGCCACCTCCTCACCCAGGACAACTGCCATTCCGGTGCCACACGGCCACCCCCTCCCCTACTGCCCGCTCTGGGCTGATGCCAGTCTCTGCAAAGGTCTCAGAGCCCCCCATAAAAAGCCCATAACAACCAAAAGTAGGTGAGCCCCAGCTCAGGTTGGGAGATAGCAGGCACCAGGAGTGGCTGCTGCTGGTGGTTCCAAGGTCAAGCTAGTGACGGGGGGGAGATCTGCCAAGGTTGGCTAGGAAAGGACTGTTGGCCACTGCATTGCCTATGACCTACTTCACCTTGACCTCTTCTACCAGGGGCTTCCTATAGACATTCTAGCTGGGGAGGACGGGCCCAACAGCAGCCTCCTCCAAGTAGGTGTTTTTGCAAGAGCACTGGACTGAGAGTTCAGGTCTCGGCTCCCCCAGTATCTTGCTGCGTGTCCTTGGCTAAGTCATCACCTCTCTGTGTCTGATTCCCTGATATTAAATGGCTTCCACTCTGTCTGCCTTCAGTGGAATATAGGAAGTAGTTGCATGGGGTTGGAGGTTCTGAAAGGGGTTCGCAAAGAGAAACTAGGTGATAGAATATTGAGATGTAAACAGGTCCATGGCCCACCCTCAAAAAGCACACAGGAAATTGACCCCAGAGCTCCCTCTCTGACCCCTCCAGACAGGACGAGTGGATAAGAACTACCCGCTGGTCACCGGGCACACTGCCCCTGTGCTGGACATCGATTGGTGCCCACACAATGACAACGTCATTGCCAGTGCCTCAGATGACACCACAGTCATGGTAGGAACCAGGTGCATGCTGCGGAGCAGCTGGGCAGGGGAAGGGGGGAGGGCTGCCTCACCTGCGCTAGGGGAGGTGGTAAAAGGGGTGCTGGGTCCCAGGGCCCTGCCCAGCCCTGCCCAGCTCCCAGGCTATATTTAGCCACATGCCCACCCCCTCCCAGGATGCACTTCTTAAGGCTAATTATAGCCATGGCCAACTTGAGGCCTGAAGAGCAAGGGGCAGTGTTCTGAAGTCTCCTGGCTGGGGTGTAGAAAAAGGTCCCTGGAGAGCTGGCAGTGTCTCCTCCTGGCTCCCAGCTGCTTCTGCCCGGGGCAGGCATCATTACATCTTGCCTACATCTTGTATTTGACCATTACCACTCAAGAGAGCCAGTAGGGTTCGGGGTGGGGAGGGGGCAATGTTGGGGAGAAGAGAGAGACAAAGCAGGTTCCTCATCCCACTCACCCCATGCCTTTTCCTCCCTCCCAGGTGTGGCAGGTTCCAGACTACACCCCAGTGCGCAACATTACGGAACCCATCATTACACTTGAGGGACACTCCAAACGTGTGGGCATCCTCTCCTGGCACCCCACGGCCCGGAATGTCCTGCTCAGTGCAGGTCTGGGGGCCTAGGGAGGGGTCCCTACTGCAGATGTGGTTGGGGAGGATGGCACAGGCAGGACCCAAGTAACCGTGACTGGCTGCTTTGGGCAGGTGGTGACAATGTGATCATCATCTGGAATGTGGGCACGGGGGAGGTGCTCCTGAGTCTAGACGACATGCACCCAGATGTCATCCACAGCGTGTGCTGGAACAGCAATGGCAGCCTGCTAGCCACCACCTGCAAGGACAAGACCCTGCGCATTATCGACCCCCGCAAGGGCCAGGTGGTGGCGGTGAGTGCCTGGCTTTGCTGTTCCCCAGCCTCCACCCCAGGAACCAACTGTCAGGCCCCAGTGCCCTTGATCCTCTAAGTCCCTAGTCACGGCTCTCGCCTCCTCCACCCTAACCTGAGGCAGTACCCTCCTCCCAGTGTCTGCAACCCCTGCTTCCAGCCCTAACGAAGCCCACGAGCCCACGGCCCACAGTCTTCTGTCCCGCTCCTGTTCCCTGCGTTCCCCAGCACCTCACAAGCTCAGAGCAGTTCCCCTGTGAGGTTCCCCAGCACCTCACAAGTTCAGAACAGTGCTCTTCGGGTTGGAATTGAGCAGCGGAGACGCTGCAAGCTCGGTCCTTCCACCAGAACCTGCATGACACATCCCGGACCCCTCTCCTCTCGGCCGGCACCCCGCCCCATCTTGCAGGGTCTGGGGCCCGCCACCGGCTCTCCCTCCGGGTAGGCCCCTTCCTGCCCGAGTCGACCCGCTGGGCGAGGGGGAGAGGGGACAACCCTCGCGCCTTGTTAGGCCTAGCTCGTTTCCCTAAGGGCGGCGGCCCCTGCCTCCCCGCCCTGACTCGGACTCGGGGTGCGGGTGCACGGGGCCCGCGCCTTTCCGCGCCGCGAGCGCTCTAACCCACTAACCCCGCGAGCAGGAGCGAGCCCGGCCTCACGAGGGCGCCCGCCCGCTGCGGGCCGTCTTCACGGCGGACGGGAAGCTACTCAGCACCGGCTTCAGCAGGATGAGTGAGCGGCAACTCGCGCTCTGGGACCCGGTAGGCCAGGCCGCGCTAGGCGCGCGCGCGCTCCTCCGCGGGGCCAGCCCGGAGCGCCCTCCCAGGCCGGGGCCTCGCTGGGAAAAGCCCCTCTGCGGCCGCTGGGAGCCGGCCGACTTCCCCTGCTCTCGGGATCCGCCTCTGAGGGCGCTTAAAGGGCTCGGGACCCGCCGAGAGGCGCGCACCTCCCGCTCCCGCCGGTCGCAGACGCTCTCCAGGCCTGGGGCCAGCCGGGGCCCCCCAGGAAGCTGAGTAGTTAGGCGCAGGCAGCTGGGTGACGCCTCTCCCTGTCTCCCCCCACCCCAGGAGAGGTTTGCGGCCCACGAGGGAATGAGGCCCATGCGGGCCGTCTTCACGCGCCAGGGTCATATCTTCACCACAGGCTTCACCCGCATGAGCCAGCGAGAGCTGGGCCTGTGGGACCCGGTAACGCAGCTGGAAGCTTGGGGTGTGTGCCCTGGGGACTGGCATCACGGGAGAGGGGCCAGGCGCCCCCCACCCGCAGGGCATGCCCACCTGGACTGGGCTGGAGGCTGCTGCCCCCTTTGCAGCGCCTGCCATCCCCACACCCACCCCTCCGCCCAGTTGTGCTGCGTCGCCTGAAGGAGCCCACGCTGGCACCCCCATCTGGTGATGCCGAGTCCCTGGGGGTGGTTTGCAGTGACTGCATGCGGCGGCGGCGCAGGGGCTCTATGTGCGGCGGCCCTGGGACTGATGTGTCCGTGGGCGGGACCCACAGTTCGGTTCGCCAGAACTGCCTTGGGCACGTGCGGGGCTTGGAGCGGGTAGGAAGGGTCAAGGGGCTTCAGGGGATCCAGCAGTGGCACGGTGGCCGGGACAGGGCTGGTCACGCCTCCTGTGCTCGGGCAGAACAACTTTGAGGAGCCAGTAGCGCTGCAGGAGATGGACACAAGCAATGGGGTCCTACTGCCCTTCTACGACCCCGACTCCAGCATCATCTACCTATGCGGCAAGGTGCCTGGACGGCAGGGGAGGACAGGGACGGGACAGAGATATTGAGGGTCCCACCTGAGAATGTTTCTGAACTGATTGGTTTTGCAGGGCGACAGCAGCATTCGGTACTTTGAGATTACCGACGAACCACCTTTCGTGCATTACCTGAACACGTTCAGCAGCAAGGAGCCTCAGAGGGGCATGGGTTTCATGCCCAAGCGAGGGCTGGACGTCAGCAAGTGTGAGATCGCCCGGTCAGCAGCCATTGCCCTTCTCGTTTGCATGTCTGTCCCCACTTGCCATCGGAGAAGACACAGGGGCTTCTCCCATAGTGTGATCTTTGGGAAGGAGTGGGGGTATTTTGTGGGGGAGGGGTTTTGATTAGGGAGAAGGGAGGGTCAACCTGGCTTGTTTCCGCTCCAGCCCCAGCGTTAACATTCTCTAAACTTCAGTTTCCTCAACTGTAAAATGATGATAAACACCCCATCAGAGATGTTTTACCAGCTGGACCCATAATGTGTTTTGAAGTGCATGGTACAGGCTCAGGAAGTGTTGGTCTCCAACCCCTTGGTCCCCTGCAGAAAAGGGGGTGGGAGCCGGCGGGGATGCTGAAGCCCTCTTCCTTATAGGTTCTACAAGTTGCACGAAAGAAAATGTGAGCCCATCATCATGACTGTGCCCCGCAAGGTAAGGGGGCGCGGAGAGGTTGGGAAGAGAGGGCTCCGAGGCGGAAGGAAAGGAGCAGGCCCGGCCCTCTGCGAACACTAGTCTTCCTGTCCCCCCACCCCCGCAGTCAGACCTGTTTCAGGACGACCTGTACCCAGATACTCCGGGCCCCGAGCCGGCCCTAGAAGCGGACGAATGGCTATCCGGCCAGGACGCCGAACCCGTGCTCATCTCTCTGAGGGACGGTTACGTGCCTCCCAAGCACCGCGAGCTCCGGGTCACCAAGCGCAATATACTGGACGTGCGTCCTCCCTCCGGTCCCCGCCGCAGCCAGTCGGCCAGTGACGCCCCCTTGTCGGTAAGATCCGGCTCGGCTCCGGCCCAGGCCCGGTCTACGCATCCCCCCTCCCGACCCCTTCCTGACACAGCCTCTTCTGTCCTCCGCGCGCCGGCAGCAGCACACTCTGGAGACGCTGCTGGATGAGATCAGGGCCCTTCGCGAGCAGGTGCAGGCTCAGGAGCAGCGCATCACGGCTCTGGAGAACATGCTGTGCGAGCTGGTGGACGGCACGGACTAGCGCGGCGCGCTGGGGGCAGCTCCGAGCCTGGGGAGCAAAGCCGGGCGGGGAGCAGGACTCGGCCCCGCCCCGGCTTTCTGTCCGGAACCCCGGACCCCGCTCTTATGGGCGGGGTCCGGGGGCTGGACTGGAAAGGGAACTCTATCCCCTCGCGGGAGTCCCGGACAAACGGAGCGTCGCCGAGACTCTCGTCTGCCTGGCACCCGCCTGGCTACGTGCCTCGCCCGGGACTCAGCAGGAGCTGGCCTTGGGAGGCCCGGGGTGACGGGGACCTCAGTAACGGTGCTGCACGGCGAGGCGGTGTCCCTTCTGTCTCCCGCCTAGGGCAGGGGAAGTGCTTAGTATTAGCGCTATTCTTGGGGATATCGGGGAGCTTGGGCTTGACCTCAAAGGGGTAGCCGTGCAACGGGTCTCGCCAGACCAAATGGGGAAAGTTATAACGCTTCTCCCTCTAATTGGCTCACTTGATGCCACTACCCGAAGTGGTAAAACGGATGGGCGCCACCCCAGATCTACAGACATACACAACCCATTGGCCGCAGGGCCGAACCCACCAGTTACACCCAGCAGTCTGTGGCAGAGGGCTGTCTTCCTTCTTTTCACCCGCAGGGGAGAGGGCGGCTTCCGCACTGCACCCCCGCCAGAGAACTAACCAGAAAACTGGCATGGAAGCAGGTTCACACCCCTTTTCCCGCCCCCCCCCCAACTGCCCCCAGCCCTCTGATGTGGCCTTGGCTCTAGGAGGAAAACAAGATTTACTGAATGAAATATTTTACTAAGTGCTTGGTCTGTGCCTCCTGCCTGCTTGGGGGTGAGGAGGCCAAGACCCACGGCCTCTGCAAATGCTGTATCCCCAGGCTTGCGGGGGTGCTGACAAAGGTTCAGGACCCACCAGGCATTCTTTTACCTCAGAGCCCTCCCCACCCTGAGGTTCAGAAGGAACCCCCCTCAACCCATAGGTGGGCGTTCTTCCCCCAGTAAAGCCAGCTAGGAAAAGCCTCGGGTTTGAAGCCTCTTTTATTTGTGCCTCAGAGTCAGTCTGGTGCCCCTGACATCAGGGAAGGAGGTGAGAGGAACAGTTTCTCTTTGTTCTTTTCTTCTATCCCTTTTGTGTCCCTCCTGAGCCTCACTGGCTGAGCCAGGAAGGCCAGCCTGAGAGAAGGCGGACAAGGGTGTGCAGTGGGCCCCTGCCCCTAGCGGGGTCTGTGCTTCTCTGGGTGGGTGGGGTGGGGCAGGGGAGAGCCGGGGGTTAGCACCATTGGATGAAGGGTTTGAGAGTCAGCCCCTGGCTGGGGGCAGGTGGGACACACGACCACAGAGGGCTAGCAGCAGCTGGTGGGAAGGGGTGGGTGGTGGTGCCAGGGCCCTGAGCCAGTGAGAGGGCTTCAGGGTGCACCTGCCCATAAGCAGGGCCAGGGGACAGGGTCTAGTGCTCGCCCCCAGCGCAAATATTGTCCCCCATTTGCCAAGACATCATGAAGGAACCAGGCCTTGCCCAGGCCCGGGGGCCCACCTTGGGCACCCTCCCTGATCACAAAAGCGTGCCTTGGGGATGGGAACGCCAACCTCTGGCCACCCAAGGAGAAACTGGGACCACCCTGAGACCCGGGAGGGGGGGGGGGCTGGGGAAGCCGGGCACCCCGCTAAGTGCACTTGACGCTGAAATGCCGGGGTGAAGGAGGAGCTGGGCCCTTGACGTGCTGGTTTGTGTCTGGGACAAAGCAGCAACACAGCACGTGGGGAGCTCAGCTGCCCCCCTGGGGTGAAGAGCGGAGATGCAAAGGCTTCACGGACAGTGTCCTACAGTGGGTTCTGTGAGCAGAAAAGGAGGACTGGCCAGAAGGAGCGAGGGTTGGGGGACACTGCTCCTCTGAGGACCCGGCTCCCCTTCAGGACGGCCTGACCCCCTCGGACAAGTCTGAGCCCAAGATAGAGTGGTGGGCATCAGGATACAGCAAAGCAGGGGGACCGGGGCGTGCGAGCTGCCTCCAGGGCCCTGGCCGCGACAGGCATCCCGCGGACGCGCCGAGGCCCTCCCGGTCCTGTGCCAGGGGCGCCTCTCCGGCCCGCAGGCCTCGGCTCTAGTCTATGGCCGCAGCCGGGCGGGCACGCGGGCCCGGGCGAGTCCGGCTCCCGGGCGGGTTCGGCTCCCGGGCGGGTTACGCGGGGCAGCGCCGATGGGCCCTGCAGAGGGCGCTACTGCTCGGTCAGCGAGAGCCGTAGGATACGCTCCAGCTCCTCCTCCTCCTGGCGCGCGCGCCGCCGCCGCTCCTCCTGCTCCTGCGCAGACAGCTCCATGGCCAGCCGCAACTGCTCGTCGTAGCTCTGGAACACGTGGCCGCCCGGGCCCGGGCGCGGGCTGGGCCGGGGGCTGGGCACCGAGGCGGGGGGCCCGGGCTGGCGCTGCGGCGTCGGCGGGGCGCTCCTGGGGGCGGGTAAGATACGTCGAGGGTCCCGGGGCGTACCTGCCCATAAGCGGGGCCGGGAGACAGCGTGGCGGCCCCAGGACAGAGGAGGCCTCGTCCCCATCCTGTGGCGGCGATGAGTCCTGCATCACCTCCCTGGCTCCGGCCCGGCTGTGACAGAGCTCATCCCCTCCAAGCCCATTCTCCCGGTGGACACCGGACCAGCGCATGTGGGCAGCTTCTAGAATGCCAGCTCTAACATCCTGCCAGGTCGGGGGCTGAGGGCCTTGAGGCCGCTTTGGGAGTGCTGCTCACAGTGAGGAAAGGGTGGGGGTAGAAGCCTTCTGCAAACCAGTAGCGGCCTTACAGAGAGAACCACAGTTTCTTGGGGCCTTGAGGGGCTGCCCAGCCATTGGTATCCTCGCCCACTGCAACAGGGTCCCGAGGGACTCCGTGCGTGTGTTATTTCGGGGGAGGAATGCTGGGTCAGGACTAGAGGGCACTGACCTGTCCTGTCGGCGAGCCTCGTAGGACATGGGGTGAGTGCCCGGCTTGCTGTTAGTTAGCGCCTCCCAGATAGTGACCTGGAGGGAACGACGGGGACCCGTTGGCTAGGTTGGCACTGCGGTCCGCAGTTTGGTGGGGCGGCGCGGTGCGGCGCGCGGCGGGGACGCACCTGGTCATACTCACTGCCTGCCTCTAGCAGGCTCTGCTGGATGGCGAACTGCAGCAGGTCATCGTCGTCGTCGCGGGTCGCTGCCTCCCGCTGGCCGCCCAGCACACTGTAGCCGCGTGGGGCCTCGAACAATGCGGGGGAGATCTCGCAGCCGCGGCACGAGGCTGAGGGCACCAGGCTGGGGGTCAGAGCACGGCCGCAGCCCCCACTCCGGCCGACGGCCCGGAAAGGGAGCCAGCCAGAGCTCCGTGGGGAGGGACCTGAGGGCAGACGCGCAGATGGGGAGGGTCTCACTGGTGGAACTGGAGCTGCTGACGCTGGACGAGTCGCTGCCTGGGGAAGGGGTCTCACTGCTGGGGCTGCCTCGCACGGACGGCACGGGCTCATCACAGCCATTGAGGTTCCCAAAGGTGATGCGAGCATTGAGGATGTGGAAGATTGGGATTTCTGAGGATAGAGAAACAATCGGGTGCCACTACCTGGCTTCTCACACCTTAGGCACCCCCAAACTTTATCTTATCTAAGCCCTACCCACCGCCCACACAGACCCCCCCCACACACACACACTAGCGGCTTAGAGGAAATGGGGGTGGGGTCTCACCAATCTTGACTGGGAAACCAGGTGGCAGGCGGAGGGTAATGAAATCCCGGAGCTTGGCGAAAAGCGCATTACTGACAGCCATGAGGTCAATGATGGGAGCCACCTGCTCACACAGGGACAGGGGATGCTCCTCACACAGCCACAGCTTGGCCTTGAACCTGCCCCCCCCAGATCCCAAGGGGTGAGGGGCATAGTAGAAGCCATGGCCTCCCAGTACCTTTTGGAGACCCCACCCCTCCCCAGCACCATCAGGGGGCCTCACTTCTGGGTCTTGGTGGTGAGTTCCATGGGGCGGCCCATGTCCCGGTTGCCAAGCTCAAAGTTGGGGTTGAAGTACTCTTCTGCAGTGATGGCAGTGGGGTTGGCTTGGCTCAGAGTCTGAGTGATCAGGGTCTGTACCACATGAGGAGGAGCCCATGAGCCCTTCTCAGTCTCTGATGCTAGGCCAACCATTTGGGATCCTGAACCCCAGAGCCTTACCCCTCCCCCAAACCGGCCCACCATGCAGCTCACATGACCCTGGGCAGGGTGGAACGTGGACCCTCACAGGCTGTGCTTGGCAGGACGCCTCCCAGGCTGCCTCCTGAGCGACAGCCACACCCTTCCACACAAGGGCACCCCTGGCATGCACTCACCCCATTTTGGGGACCCCCATGCTGCTCAGCAATTCCCAGGAAGGACTGCAGAGGTGTCTTACAGCCTACAAGAAATGTGGCATCTCAGAGGACACTGCGACCCTCTGCAGTGCCAGCCCCCGAGACCTCCGGAGTAGGCTGGTTCCTGGTGGGTGGGGAGGATTACTCAGCCACACCAAACGCTTGGCACCTGCATCTGAAGGTGACTGAGGACTCCAGGGGACAGGGACCAGGACCACTATGGCACAGTGGGAATAAAAATAGGCCTGGGCCTCAGGAAAAGCTTCCAAAAGGGTTCAGGTTGGTGACATTGGACAAGAAACACCTGCCTCTGGTGAGCAGTGCTGGGATATGCGGGTGTCTGTGTGTGTTTTCCCTCAGGCACTTCCGTCTTAATGACCTCATCCGGTTCTCCTGTGAGGTAGGAACCGTCCTTCTACTCTAGGTAGACTCACTGATGCCCAAGAGTCACGTGTGGTATCAGGAGGCACAGAGGAGCAGTGGCAGGCCCCCGGGCTTACTGCCTAGGGTATGTACTATGACGTGGGGACGGCCGATGAAGAGCACACGTGACACTTCCACCCCAAACCCAATGCAGAGACAGCAGTTACCAGTTGTCACGTTCCCTCCCAGTGAGCTCAGATGCTGCCCAGAATCTTCTAGCTGCACTCTAGGCAGTCACTCTCAATTATTAGCACTTGGCACTTGAAACTGAACCGTATTTGTGTGAATAAGTGATCCTCGCCTTGGCTGGGATGTCACAGGGAATACTGATGGAGGGACTCGAGTGGCATGGCTCTCTCACACCTCCCCCCCTCCACCTCTGCCTCATTACCTTTGACCTTGCCCTTGTGCTGTTCTGAAAGATGCTCCGTCCGCGTCCGGGTGATGAGCTCCACGTTGGATGCCCCATACACCTAGGGACAGATAAGGAAAGGGCTCAAAGACAATTCCGGTACTCTAGCCCCTGTCCCTAGGGCATTATGAACACTTCCTGCATGGGAGGGAGGGCCCACTGGGGGCCGGCTGTTTGCTCCAATCTCCCAGCCTTTGGACAAGTAAATATATGAAGTCATTCATCCATTCTCTTATTCATTCAACAAACATTTTGTGAGGAGCCTTTATGTGCCAGGCTCTGAGACATGCATCAAGGGTACAGTGCTGAATGAACATGACTGCATATAATCCCCACCCTTTTGGGGTTCATACACTAGTTGAAAAGACAAAAAAAGGGACAGTTATAACGTAGTGTGAGACCCTCTCTCATGGGGGAAGCACAGGGCTGTGGGAACCAAAAGCAGAGGCCTTAGCCCAGCCTAGCAGGCCAGGGAAGCCTTCCAGGAGGAAATCATGACTCCATGGAGTTGACAGGGGCCCCAGAGGGACCAACACAGTCTCCTCAGGAGTGAAGGCCTGGCTTTGGGGGTCAGGTAGCCAAGGTCTGAACCTCAGCTCTGCCACAGATAGAGCTGTGCGACCCTTTATAGATCCTGTAACCACTCCAAGCCTGTTTCCTCGTCAGACAGTGGGCCAATACCCTACTCCACAGTCGTGGCCAAGAGGGACTGGGACACTGTGGGAAAGGTTCAGTAGACATCTATAAAACAGGAATAATAATAGCACCTTCCCAAAAGGGCTGCTGAGATTAAACAAGGGTGTATGCGTGTATGTGTGGGTATGTATGCTCGCACATGTGCACGCACATGTATTCATACATACGTACAAATAAACATGGGGACAGTGCCTTGAATGTGAATGTAGTAAGTCCTCAGTAAACTCTGGCCTCTTAGTCTAGTGCCCTTTCCTCCACACAGCATTGCCTCTGCACCTCCAAAGCTGAGAAAGGGTAGTCAGGACAACCCGCCCAGTTTGCTGGAGGCCAGCGTTAGCGGGGCTCTGGGATCAGGGAGCGGCGGCCTCACCTTGGCTTCATACCCGTTCACCATCTCTGTCTTCTCACTGCGCCAGCCCAGGATGCCAGTCTTGTTCCTGGGGAAGCAGAGTCATCCAGGTGAGGGCCCCCCCAGCAGGCTGGCTCAAGGGTCCAAAGGCTGTGCCCACTCACCTCTCGAAGGAGATGTTCTTGGTGTCAAGCTGTGTGGTGACGACGGGGGCTGTGAGCCGGCTGAGCACCTGCTCCTCAGTGGGCTGGGCGGCAGCGAGCAGCAGCTCACGGTCCTGTCCGGCCAGGGCCAGGGTCTCCGTGTACACCACCCGGCGGTCATGGTCAATCTCCATGACCACGGCGCTCGTGTCTGCCAGCCACAGAACAGCACGGGGTGTTGGAGGGGGGCAGAGGGGTGTCCCCAGCCTTCCCACATTGCCACACCTCCTGCCTGCCTGACCTTGGCCCCTGAAGACGAAGCTGCGGTTCCCTCGCTGCCACGTCATGTGGTCAAAGCCCAAGAGCGTGGTATCGACCCGTAGGTTCTGCCCACTCTTCCACACTTTGTATGTGTCGCTGGGGCAGATCTTGGACACCAAGGGCACTAGGTGGAAGGGAAGGTCAGAGTTGGCTTCAGTTTGCCTGGCCCACCCAAACTGGGCCACCTTGGGGCACAGGGGTCAGGGTCAGCAGTGTGGCCAGGAAAGGAGAAGAGAACTCCCCAGCTCCCCCTACATGAATGTAGACCAGTCACTCCGACGTGAGCAACCTGCAGCCGGAGACAGGCAAGTCCTGGCCACCAGCAAGTCCCTAGGAGCCACCATTCACTAATTCACTCACTCCATCTTGCATCCCATCCTCCAACAAATATTTGTTAGCCACCTACTCTGTACCAGGCACTATTCTCGTCACTGAAGATACAACATTGAAGAAGACAGGACCCATGCCCTTTGGGAGCTTACCTTCGAGCAAGGAGTGACAAGTAACAAACAAATGAGCAAATAATTATAAAGTAAAGGATGTGATAATAATGGAATCCCAACAGCATCTGAGGCCTAGCTAGGGAGGTGGCACTGAGCTGGGAACTCAACAATGAGAAGGAGCCCCAGGAAGAGCAATGGCAAGAGAGCTCCCCGCCTGGGGAGAACAGCAGGTGCAAAAGTCCTAAGGCAGGCAAATGCCAGGAGAGGCCCCCCTCTGCCCCCTTACCCCAGCTAGTGAACTCCCATTTCATCTCCACGTAGAAGTCCTGGGCCTGGAGAATGAGAAGGACAGTGCCTCAGCCTGTGCCAGAGACAGGGCTCGAGGGCCGCGGCGGGGAGGCCAAGCGGCGGGCCCTCACCTTGCGCAGCTTCTCCAGGAGCACAGGGATGCCCGCCAAGCGCTTCACCACGCGCTGGTAGTCCCGGTACCGCAGCACCAGCTGCACCAGCTCCAGGTCCCGGGTGCTCACAGCCTCCTGAAGCACTGGGGGACAAAGACGCAATGTCATGGGGCAGAACACTGCCTGGGGGGCCCCCGCCTCGGCTCACCGAGGAGGAGGACGTGAAGCTGGGAGACCCTGGCCATGGGGCTGGGGTGAGCAGGGGCGCCCACCTGTCCAGCCACTGCGGTTCTCCCTGCCCACATCTGCGCCGTGTGCAAGCAGCACACGGGCACACTCGAGGTGTCCCAGTGTGGTGGCCAGGTGCAGGGGGGTCCGCCCGCGGGGATCCAGCTGCTCGATGTCCACCTGGAGAAGGAAGCGAAGATGGATCCCCGGTCACTTCGGAGGCAGCCCATCCGAGACCAGCAGCCTCCAGGCAGGCACCAGCCACCCGGCCGCCCAGCCTTGCCCACCTCATCAGGCAATGGAAGAGACAGACACAAGGCGCGGGGGATCAGGCGGGTGAAAAGAGGCCTGCGGGACGGGGCAGGAAGCAGCTGTGAGAAAGGGAGGACCTTCCCCCTTTCTGGTCTACCGAGCTCCCCTGACTGGGTTCACTCTTCCAAGGCTCCCAAGAGGGCTGCCTGGGAAGAGTAAGCCTTGGGTTCAAGGGTAGCCTAGACAGGCCGTTGGCCAAGGAGGGCACTTGAGGCAGGACCCAGCCTACAGGGCCAAGACCACAGCTTCAGGGTGGGCTATCAGTTTAGATCTCTGGTGTATCATGGAGTGAGGTTTAACAGCAGCTGTAATAGATCGATGAGAATGAAAGAGTATGTTCATGGTATCACTTCAAACCCATGGCCTTTGCCTGTGAAACACTATGTATTAACTTTTTTATTTTCTTACAAATCCTGTTATTGCTTTGTGAATAGCATGATTAACTGTATGAGATTTTTGTCGGGTGATGAACGCATGTCTGTGAAACATAAGCATTTAAATATCTTTCAGAAGTCTGAGGTCTCTAGGTAAATACAATCAACGACCACATCACATAAGTCCTCCTCTCCTTCCCCAAACTTGATTAAAATGCCAGTCAAAAGGCTTCTACTGCAACCATGATGAGATAAACTGAAATCATCCTCCCATAAACAGAGGAAACTACTGCTTCAAAATACGTGAAATAATTGTTTTCAGACCGTAGGCCGCAGGTAGTCCAGGACTGTGATCCCTGGAGTAAGAGAAACAAACAAGGCAGGCCCTATGATTGCTTAGATTTCTACCTGGAGGAACATTCTAGATAGCAGTTCAGGCAGGGGCATCTCTAGCAGAGCATGGTAATCTTGCTGAGGTGTTGAGGAGACAGAGAGAGGCTGAGTTAGCCAGAAGTTGCAGGACAGAGTTCTAGGAAGGAGTGAGCTGTGCAAACAACGAGCTCCAGAAATCTGCACGGGGCTTCTCTGAGTCTTTGCTGAATACTAAACTCCCCTGCGGAGAGTGAAACTCAGCAATGCAGGACAGAAAAGGAGCAATAGGGTGGTAAATTCTGAGCAGTTCTCATGTCTCAGAGCAGGGAGACATTCAAGCTCCAGCCTGCTAGAGTGGAGAGTCCTTGCTGTTCGCCCAGGGCCTTGCACAGACACCCAGGAATGGGGATGCCTTAGTAGGAGGGCTAAACCATCCTGAGAGAAGAGGCTCATCTAAATCTGATCTAATAAAGATTAAAAGTAATCTCACAAGGATCAAACTGATTTACAAGTAACCTAGCTTAGTTGGTCAGAACAAAGCCCAACACTCTTTAAAGGAAGAAAATAAAATCCACATGCTTAACATGACAACGTCTGCAACATCTAATGCCCAGTTACAAACTATGAGGGGAAAAAATTACTAGACATGCAAAGAAGTAGGAAACTATGACTCATAATCACGAGATACTCAGAAATGATAAAAATGGGGCACCTTGGTGGCCCAGTCAGTTAAGTGTTGGACTTTTGGTTTTGGCTCAGGTCACGATCTCAGAGTTGTGAGATTACACACCCCAGTCAGGCTTCCTGCTCCGCATGGAGTCTGCTCGAGACTCTCTCTCCCTCTCCTGTCCCTCCCACCCCCACATGCACTCTCACTCTCTCAAATAAATAAATCTTAAAAAAAAAAAATGATAGGGGCGCATGGGTGGCTCAATGGGTTAAGCCTCTACCTTCGGCTCAGGTCATGGTCTCGGGGTCCTGGGATTGAGCACCGCATCGGGCTCTCTGCTCAGCAAGGAGCCTGCATCCCCTCTCCCTCTGCCTACTTACGATCTCTCTCTGTCAAATAAATAAATAAAATCTTTTAAAAAAATGATAAAGATGATGAATGGCTCAATGTGCTTGTGAGTTTACAGAAACACATGAACACAATATTCATGGGGAAAGAATTAGAGATTAGTATAATATCTGAAATGAAAAATTCATTGTATGGAACTAACAATAGATTAGACACTACAGAATAGAAAAAAATCAGTGACCTTGAAGATATAACAACAACTATAGCACACAGAACAGAAATAGAGCACAGAGGAGGCAAAAAGCACTGAAGAACATTCAGAGATCCTCAACAATCTGTGAGACACTATAAGGCATCCTAACATATGTGTAATTGGAGTCCCAAAAGGATAGGATAAGGAAGTAGGAGAAATAGGAAGTTTAAATAGGTAACATTATCTCTTTAAAATTTTAAATTTAGGGGCGCCTGGGTGGCTCAGTCAGTTAAGTGTCTGCCTTCAGCTCAGGTCACGATCCCAGGGTCCTGGGATTGAGCCCCACATCAGATTCTCCCTCTGCCCCTCCCCCAGCTCATTCTTTTTTTTTTTTTTTTAAGATTTTGTTTATTTATTTGACAGAGATTACAAGTAGTCAGAGAGGCAGGCAGGCAGAGAGGAGGAAGCAGGCTCCCCGCTGAGCAGAGAGCCCAATGTGGGTCTTGATCCCAGGACCCTGAGACCATGACCTGAGCAGAAGGCAGAGGCTTTAACCCACTGAGCCACCCAGGCGCCCCTCTCACAGCTCATTCTCACGGTCTCTCTCTCTCTCTCTCTCTCACTCCCTTGCTCGTGCTGTCTCTTGAATAAATAAATAAAATCTTTAAAAATTTTAAATTTATATTTAAAGAGATAAATTTAAAGAGAAATTGAAATTTAAAGAGATAACATTAAACATTTTTCCCGTTTTTTTTTTTAAAGATTTTATTTATTGACAGAGATCACAAGTAGGCAGAGAGGCAGGTGGGGGCAGGGGGAGGGAAGCAGGCTCCCTACTGAGCGGAGAGCCCGAGGTGGGGTTCAATCCCAGGACCCTGGGACCATGACCTGAGCCGAAGGCAGAGGCTTTAACCCGCTGAGCCACCCAGGCACCCCTCCAGTTTTTTTTTAATTACTGTAGGGGGTTGAATGGTGGTGTCCCCCCAAAATATTTATACCCTAACCCCAAGAACCTATGATTATGATCTTCTTTGGAACATGGGTGTTTCTGGTTTTTTTTTTTAAGATTTTATTTATTTATTTATTTATTTATTTAATATTTTATTTATTTATTTGACAGAGAGAAACAGTGAGAGAGGGAACCCAAGCAAAGGGAGTGGGAGAGGGAGAGGCAGGCTTCCCGCCGAGCAAGGAGCCCCAGTCAGGGCTTGATCCCAGAACCCTGTGATCATGACCTGAGCTGAAGGCAGCCACTTAACGACTGAACCACCCAGGCACCCCAAGATTTTATTTATTTGAGAGAGAGTATGCACATGCATGTACATGAGGGGTAGGGTGGATGGGGAGAGGGAGAGGGACAAGCAGACTTTGCACTGAGTGTGAAGCCTGACACAGGGCTCAGTCTCACAACCCTGAGATCATGACCTGAGCAGAAACCAAGAGCCGGGCGTTTAGCCAACTGAGCCAACCAGGCACCCTGGAACATGGGTCTTTGATTTGAAATTAAGGATCTCAAGAGGAGATTAGCCTGGACTATCCAGGTGGGTCTTATATCCAAATAGATGTCTTTGGGGAGATCCACGAAGGGAGGAGAAGTTCCATGTAGAGAGGAGTCAGAGAATGAAATCGTCTGTGTGTCAGACTATTTGCTTTTTAAAATTTTATTAAAATTATGTAAAATTGCATTTTTATTTCCAGGGTAGGAAAAAAAAAAAACCATCAAACAAGCAAAACATCTAAATTATCCTTTCTGTTCTTTGTTTTTTTTCCACTTTTGGGTTTTCCCCTTGCAGAAACTACAGAAATATTCCCTTAGAATAAAATAGTATATTTGTATTTGAAAAAAAAATAATGCTTGAAATGCTTGGAGACACTGGAAGCTGAAAGAGGCGAGGTAGGATTCTCCCCTGGAGCCTTTGGAAGGAGTGGGGCCCTCCTGACTCCTTGAGTTTGGACTTCCACCCTCCAAAACAATGAGAAAATAAAATTTTGTTGTTTTAACCCACCCAGTCTGTGGTAATTTTTTTTTTACAAACTAACACAATGATAAACGCACAGAACCAAGAAAACTCAATGAATCCCAGGCAAAGCAAACACCCAGAAGACTACACCAAGGCCCGTCATAATCAAGTGCTGGAAACTAGTAGTAAAAAAGAAAATCTTAAAATCCTTTTGAGAAATGAGACAAACTATGAAGAACACAGGAAATACGGAATACTTCTCAAGGGAAACCATGCAAGCTAAAAAACAACAGGAAGAAATGTTTAAGTGATGGGGGGGAAAATGTTGACTTAGAATTCTTTATCCTGTGGAAAAATATCCTTGAAAAATAAAGGGGAAATGAAGATTTTTGTGGACAAACAAAAAGCTAAGAGAATTTATCACCAGAAGACATGCTAGAATTGTTAAAGGAAGTAATTCAAGTGGAAGGAAAATGTTAACAGATGGAAACTTAGATCTGTACAAAGGAATGAAGAGTGCCCCAAAAGGAAAATTTGTGAGTAGGTATAAGAATGTCAATAAAATATTTAAAACCCACAAAAGTAAAGAGAAGAGATATTAGCAGATGAGAAATGTTAACACATCTTAACGTGGAAAGTGGCTGAGCAGAGGGTCCTAGAAGCCAAGCATTCACATAGGGAACCCCCCAGTGAGTGTCGGGCCAGATCACCCTTAAAATGTCCAGAACACGCAAGCAGTGAGGGTGGCAGAGGTGTGAGTAAGGCCCAGGGCTTTTAACCCAGAGCTGGTTAAAATTCAGAACCCCTGGCCCTCTCCCCAATCTTGTAAAGCTGGGAGACGGCCCCCTTCCCTTCCACAGTATGCTGGGAATTCATTCTCCATAGAAACAGAGCCTGAGATGCACTGGATTTGGGGACACTGGCCTGAAGATGAGGTCATGGGGCTAAAA